AAAATATAGTAAATAATTTTTTGTTTCAAGATTTTTGCAGTTCATTGTTTGAACTTTGAACTCCTAGAAATTGTTGTTCAAAAAATTAACGTTAAAAATTAAAATTAGATAAAATTTACTTTTGTACAGCTAAAATAAGTTATACATTGTTTACACACATTTGTTGAAATAAAAAGGTAGCCTACTGCTCTTTTACAATTTAGGCTAACCTTTTTCAGTGTTATTGATTTTCAGAAAATGAAAAAAACACTCTTCAAATCCACCATACTCATGGAATAGAAAAAATGACATAGGTATCTGAATTTATATAGGCTATGGATATGAATACCCTATTTTAAATGGAATCTACTAAAACTTTCTATGAGACCTTATTTAAAAAATATATATCTTATCAGAGATTTAGCTAGCCCACCTACCTTTTTTGTAACAATGGTTTGTTTGAAAATAAAGTTACTAACTACAAGATATATCATCAGGATTCCTGCTACAATATACCCTAGGGTAAAAGTTTCAGCAAGATAGGATTAAGAAAAAGCTTTTTTATCACTTCTTGATAGTGAAGTTTCACATTATATATTAACTGACATGGATATTCCAAAAAAAATATTGGTCACTAACTAAATCTCTACATTATGTACGAAGCATTGGAGCAGCAACAAGTCTTGATTTAAATCAAGACAAATCACATAAAATGTTTGACATGTTTTAAAAACAAAAGTTGCTTTCACAAATCTACATTGCAATGTTTGAAATGTGCAATTATTTGCACACTGTTAATACAAATTGCAGTAAAGATAATAATTTGAACTTAATGTTAACAATTTAGCAGTAATCCTATGCTCAAAACAAATTGTGCTCATTCCTACGGGCCTGGTATGGGAATACCAATCATAATCAAAACAAATATAAATATATAAATATTGCATCGTATTTAATGGGCCCATAATTGCCTCAGGTGTCAGGATGAATGAAAATGTGCACATTAAAAGATGTTTGCCAAAGTAATAAAGATTTGCAAACCAAATTAATTTAGCTAATCAAAATTAGAAATAGTGTAAGATTTTAAAAGGCCAATTGAAAAGTTGAAGGCACTAGACGATGCACTACCTAAACATGTTTCTTATGACTGAGCCGATGGAGGGCGTTGAAGGGCCAGAACTCACGTGAACGATCTCGTGCAGGAAAGGTTGACAGTCGTCATAGTTCATATCAAATATAAGGCACATGTCGGGTTGACTGGGTACATCCGGCATGTATTGACACCGGTTCATCAACTCCGTAATAAACATTATCTTCTCCGTCAACAGTTCACCCATCTTCTCTCTGCCTAGCTGTTGTTCACATTTGTTGTTCAACTGTATAAGATCCAAATGCACATTCCACACTTCCCACGGAACACACTCCGACGGAAAAGGCCAAGTGGATCGCTTCTTTCTGAAGAACTTGAGTGAAATTTCGCCCGAATTTGTTCCGTCTGCACTTCGCAATTCCTCGGAAAACTCGGACACTTTGCGCTTGATGTTGCGGTCCAAGCTTGGAGACGAACATCTCACGTAGGTCAAGTCTATAAAGTCACAGTCAACGTCCGTGTACCCCACAGTCCCCTCCAGGTATTTTCCACTCTCTTGGTATTGGAACTTTCCAAATGTCCGATAGAACAAGACCGTATGAAATATACTGGCGACGGCCTCCTCCACCTGATAACCCTCCAACGCCAGCTCCAATGTCTGCGACTGAGCGTTCATCTTCACTTCAGATCTGCTGCACAAACATGCAAACAGCTATAAAACTGGTAATTCAAACAAAGCCCATATTTTGCAATGATAAAGAAACGTTTGGAAAATGCAAGCTGTTTTCATATTTTGAGTAGGCCTACTGTGCATGTAAAACACTTAAGCCTAGTACACGAGTCATAAGCTATTTCCTACATCATTTATTACAATGAAAACTGTCATTCATTTTTACACTCAAAATCTGGCTAGATTATTATAGGCTACTCAAAATCAATGTTTAATCCCAAAATCATGTGATAAAGCCTATGGATTATCAAACATGTGAAAACTATGTGAATCTATTGTTCCCTCTTAGCTATCAACACTAAAAACTCTTATCTATTTAGGGCAGCCATTATTGAACACTTCAATTCACTCACAATCAATACAGGAAGTTAATATTGCACAGTAGACAAGCCACTATAATGGTTATCTAAATTGCAAATTTATAAATAGATTAAGTTGAGTAAAATTGATGCTAGCCTACTAGGCCATGTAAACAAATTAATTTAACAAGAAAAATAATGATGAGGTTGTGAGGGCCTAGGTTCAATCACATAAAACTGCTAAATGATAACATTTCAGTAAAGCTTTATCTTCAAACAATAACTTAAAGCATACTTATATTGCAAAATAGCATTAGTTTTTGAGTGCCATTTTGGGATGAATAAGTTAATCCGTCGCAACCCTTCATAATGGAAATTTTTATCCACCACCTTTTAACAAATACAATAGGCTAACTTATTACTTAAACCTAGTAAGTTGACCTAGTAAGTTTCAGTACGCCTACTTGTGTTGCCGGTAAACCTGTTTATTCTCGATCATGTCCAAAGTGTGAATATACACCGAATATGGCATATTTTCGATAGTCCGAATATGCCAGGACCATTTATTTAGAACCCAAGCTCAAGGACAGCTGGGCTTAATTTCGAACAATGAAAAAACTAAATTAAAGAATACACTTTTCTCAGAGTTCAACCAGTGACCTTTCCTTGGGTGCATTAACGTTAACTAAATAAAATGTAACAATTTTACAAAGAGTTTTTACGTAAATTGTTAACTTTCTCCACCTCTTTCTAGCCCTATTCAAAACAATCGCCGATTTTCAATAATATAGTTTAGTCCACAGAAGCTATTATCGCCGTATTCACAGTTGAGATGATTGAGTTTTCTTAATAACTTAAATTATAATTTTTCTAAAGTAAATGGACGGGAAAGTTAGAACTGTGTAATCTGAAGACTTCTGCAGGATTGGCGACAGTGAAGGGAAATTTTTTTTTTTTTTTTAAGTTTGAACATAAACTGAGTTCTTTGGCTTTCCCACCCCTCAGACATGTACAGCATGTTAATAAATGATAAGGATAGGCCTACAAGTCTATAAGAGTAGGCCGTCAAGAGAACTTCAGACGAAATGTTAGCCTATGTTTAAGAGTGCGTAGCATGAAAATCCCCAAGTTAACGCTACTATCGATTGAAAATATCAACTCGATTAGTAAGTTAAGCCTTCACTAACTTTTATAATCAGACTTGTGTGAACCTGGCAATAACTCAGCAATAAGTAGGCCTAGGTAGTGCGCGGGTCTGACAAAATCTATTGCTAGCCGTTTTGCGGAAAAATACGGCCGTGAACCATATTACCGATAATGTCAACAGATAGAGGACACTTAAACAGACACGACAGTATTAATATCATTTACCTGGAGGGTAAGTTAGGGGGGTTAAGTCAGCAATAAGTACTGGTAGTGCTGACTTTAACGGTTCGCAGCCGTATTTTTCCGCAAAACGATTCTGCTAGCAATAGATTTTTTAAGGCGTGCGCACTACTTATTGCCAGGTTTACACCAATTATTATCAGCAAGTTTGGTTAAATTAACAGTTTCATTATTTCCTTGTTAATAAAGCGGAGCCTACACTAGATACAGTTTCTTAACTGGGCTATGGTAATATCGATTAAAACTAACTTAAGTTAGCCTAACTTATCGAAATAAAAATATCGATATTTTTTACTGTACGGTATAGGCCTAACTTAGGCCTGTCAATTATAAAATTAAACTGTCATAACTTAACCTTAGTAACCAGACTTGCAAATAGGCGTACGGTACGGTAAGTTAATAAAAAAATTGAATGAAGGTTACCAATCAAATAAATATTTGCAATCGATACAGTAGACTCCCTCTTATCCAGACTCCTTGGGACCGAGGCCAGTCCAGATGAACAGATTTTACGGTTAGGCCCAAACCAATGTCCCCAAAAACTTGTTAAAACGTAGGCTGCTGTTTAAATGCATAACATAAGTTTCTGCACACAGTATTTGACTTCGAGGAAAGCATTGTATTTGGAAACGTAATCACTAGGCTATAGTCTTAAATCTTTCCCACGAGAACAGTCGTTACAGTACCACCCACCTCATGTCTACAGTAGAACCTCTTTAATCCGAACCCCCGTAATCCGAACGTCCACTAATCCGAACCCCTCGCTGTACTCTATAGACAGAACAGTAGTTCTTCATTGTACACTGTATTTATTGGTATAGGCACCATAATTGTTTCTACTGTAATGTACCGTACAGTTTATTCCCTATGTTTACTAGCCTACTGTATTAAATAAACACTGTGTTTTACTTTATAAAGCATTTTTCACTTTTCCCTAGCAATTGTTATGTAAAAACAATAATATGTTCTGTAATCCGAACTATTGAATAATCCGAACTACCCCTGGTCCCAATTAGTTCGGATTAAAGAGGTTCTACTGTATCTAGTCTGTTTAAACCAATGTGCTGATAAAAATTGTCCGGTTAAGAAATGGGACGTAATTTCTGCCGATTGTATGCTAAGTTAACTTAAGTTAGTCCGGTTAAACCGATGTCCAGTTAAAAGGTGTAGGCCTAATTAAGAGGGAGTCTAGTGCAGCGTAACCGTAACCCAGTTAAGAAACTATACCCCGACATAAAGGCTAGGCCTAGGCTAAGTTGCTCCTAAGTTCCAGGCTTAGGCTAAATAAAAAATCACAAAGGCCATAACTTAAAATACAGCTGAAAGAACTTAAACGTTTTAATAACCAGGCCTAAGTTAGGCCTTATTAGAAGGTACAGTAGCTACAAATGAATTAAACAGACTTTATTAGATAGGCCTAGGGCCTAGGCCTAATTGCGTTTTAAGCTAGCCTAACTTAGCCTAGCCTAGGACTAACTTAGTTAAACAGTTCAACAGTCATAATTTAGTGACTTACCGTGAATTCACCTCTCATCATTTCAAAAGAATGAGATTTCGACATTATTGAATCAGATGTGAACTTATTTCTGTGAAGAATTTTCTTCCGTCTACGAAATCATCACAGAACGCCACGAACAAAGTTAATTAGACCTAAAATTAATATGCATTGACTTTTCTTTTTTATTTCATACCAAGATTCTTTTCGAGCACTATTTATTAATTAATATTGATTCCTTACACTTTATAAACAGGATCAAATCAGTAAACAACAGTTAATGAGATGAAATTGACAAAAACAATGAAATGTTAAACTGTTAAACTCTTTCCCACTCCAGTTTTCCTTTATGTTTTTTTTGTCAATAGTCCATCGTCTCGTCATATGTTGTTAATGGTTGTTGGTTATGTTCTTCTTCTTCTCTCTTCAATTCCTCTTATTTTCTTCTTATCCAAAGTCTCAAACCCACTCAAACCAAAAGCACTACATTAAGCCATAGATAAAACGATTAAGCATTGATATTAAAACTTGACATTGATTTTAGTCTAGGCATATTAGGAAAGTTAGCAAAAAGTTTAGGTACAGTCCTAATCATCACTTTTCTTTATGTTTTTTGGGTCGCTGAACATGAATATGAGGTTTGCTGACAGATATTTTGCCCGGAACATTGGTTATTTTGTGAAAAACCTTAAAATTTGGGCACTTTTTTGGTTTTTCGGGCAAATCTCGGTAAGTATGGGTTTTGAGAAAACCCTGCTTTGTAAAATTAAAGATGACAAAATGTACTACAAGTTTCCTATAGAATGTTTGTTTCTACGACGAACCGTTTTGCCACTAGAGCACACTAAAAAAGGCCAGAAGTACAAGAAAATTAAAAACATTGCTAAATGCTACCGTTTTACATTACGTTTCCATGGAAACAATCCATGTTACGATAATTTTAACTATTTATTCATGATAACAAACTGAAACACACTTAAAAATACCCCCGCCGCAGCAAACCTGCAGACTAAGCGAATTTCCATTTCCCTGATTGGATTTATACTAAAATGTCTCCTTAGAAATATCACATTTATTCCCTATTTAAATCAAAGTTTAACGAGTACTTAGGTTTGCTGCAACAGGGAGGGTAAAAAGGTGTTTTTTTGTAAAATGTAATAATTTAGTATGAAATGAATGCATTTTCCAAATTTGATCAAAATATGTTCATAAACAAGCAAACTACAACAGTTTACTTAGTCCTTATAAGAATAACATGGGCATTTTAAATTTACAGATTTTTGGAATTTTTTCCGTAACCATTAGGCGCATAACAACGCTTTAACTTAAACGCTTAAACTATTTGCTTTTTAAGCTCTACAAAATGGTATGGAAAGAAATCGCTAAATTTTAAGTTTATATGGTCAAAAATAGGAAAAACCAATTTTTACCCTATAAAACCCCCCATAAATCCCTGTTCCCATAGTCCGATCATGCTGGGTAAAACCAAAAATGAAAATAATCCCTAACCGTTTTACAAAGGTTTTACATTGGGTTTCCATGGAAAAAACCCATTGTTAGAAAATGTTTAAAGTTGTTTCTTTTCTACTGGCTCAAACATGTCACATGTTATATATAATTCATATGGTTATTTTAATATTGTAACTCTTGTAAACAAAACATGAGTTTTGAATTAAAATAAGAAAATAAAAGCTTGTGTTACAAAAGTGGTTTTAATATTATAATTATTTATGAGAAAATCACTTATTTGATTGGCAAGTTTTACACCCATGTTACGATAATTTGAACTATTTATTCATGATAATGAACTGAAACACACTTGATAAATCTATGCCAAGATGTATGACTGACTGCTGGAACATTTCCCGTTCCCACAAAACCCCCATTTATTTTCTCAGCACAGGGATGTTGCTGGCCACAGGGTTGACTGCTATAGTGGTTGAGAAAAAAGGATGAAATACATTAAAAGAGTTGTAGATAAATTTAACTTTGGTAACGTCAAATTCAGACGAGTAGACCGTGTCCAGCCACTTGCCATAGTAAATAACGCGATGAAAGTAAAGAATTCTTACCCGTAAACCCCAACACATTGTTTCAACGTATCAGCATCGCTAAGAATTCTGATGAAGAACTAAAACACTTCTTGTCCTTCTTACGGAGAAAATTCCAAAAATCTGTAAATTTAAAATGCCCATGTTATTCTTATAAGGACTAAGTAAACTGTTGTAGTTTGCTTGTTTATGAACATATTTTGATCAAATTTGGAAAATGCATTCATTTCATACTAAATTATTACATTTTACAAAAAACACCTTTTTACCCTCCCTGTTGCAGCAAACCTAAGTACTCGTTAAACTTTGATTTAAATAGGGAATAAATGTGATATTTCTAAGGAGACATTTTAGTATAAATCCAATCAGGGAAATGGAAATTCGCTTAGTCTGCAGGTTTGCTGCGGCGGGGGTATTTTTAAGTGTGTTTCAGTTTGTTATCATGAATAAATAGTTAAAATTATCGTAACATGGATTGTTTCCATGGAAACGTAATGTAAAACGGTAGCATTTAGCAATGTTTTTAATTTTTTTTGTACTTCTGGCCTTTTTTAGTGTGCTCTCGTGGCGAAACGGTTCGTCGTAGACACAAACATTATAGGAAACTTGTAGTAAATTTTGTCATCTTTAATTTTACAAAGCAGGATTTTTTTCAAAAACCCATACTTACCGAGATTTGCCCGGAAAACCAAAAAAAGTGCCCAAATTTTAAGGTTTTTCACAAAATAACCAATGTGTTTTGCAAAATATCTGTCAGCAAACCTCATATTCGTGTTCAGCGACCCAAAAAACATAAAGAAAAGTGATGATTAGGACTGTACCTAAACTTTCCGCTAACAGTCACTTATATTCCTAATATGCCTAGCCTATTTATACTACAAGTACTGTGTGACTGTAACTGACACTTTTCTGATACCAAAGATTACACCAGCTACACGCAAAATTTTGCGTAGCATAATGAGTGGTGTTTCTTGTTCTCTTGTCTTCTTGAACTCTTAAAATGTTTATTTATATATTTATCTGTTATTCATCATAAATTTTTCCTATTAAATATCTATTTATTGAATTGTATAACTGCATATTTATTTATTAATTTAAGATTATAACTATCGTTACTAATCATTTTTGTAATGGTCTTTAGACGTTGGAATGGAAATAAAATAAAAAAATACTCTTTGGTAATACTGTAATCACTTACTTAAGTTTATCAATCAATTTGTTGCTCTCTGCTTGTGTTCATAAGCTACCCACGGAATATACTACCTACATAGCACACGGCAAGAAAGTAAGTATTAAAGTATGTCTGATAAATAACTAGGTTGCCATAGAGATGCTACCCCAACAATTCGTCACCTTGGCGTTTTGACTACTTATGCCCCCCCCCCCCCCACGACAAAACCCCATCACAAAATTACCCGATGTGTCCGGTACGCCACTCCCATCAAACCGGTCACCATGCCCCCAAAGCAATGTCTTGAGCTCCTCATCACATCACTCACACTCTACACGGATTTCTTATCAGTCACTTTCTCTATAGAATCGACCCCTTTTATTACTCCCCCCCCCTATACCATAGTATATGGAGAAAGTATTGTTTTCTTCAAAATTTTCGAGTTAGAGTTTTGAGTGGATATATCCGTTTTGTAAAAAAGTAGTTTTCGAAGTGATGTCTGTGTGTGTGTGGGTGTGTGTCTGTATGTGTACACTGTACAGAGCAAGGGACTACCTACACCTTTGGTCCGATTTCGATGAAATTTGGTGTGTAGGTTTTAATCTATGGTATCCCCAGGCATTTGTTAATTATTTTGAAATTTTGATTTTTAACGTAGATTTTCTTATAAAACCCCAATAACGAAAAATCGGATATTCTCAAAAATGGCACAACCGATTTTGATAAAAATTTAGTGTGTTGTAGCACTTTTAATTCTGAAAAATATGGTACGAATCCTATTTCTGTAAAAATTACGGTTCAAAAGTTATTGTAAATTAAGTTTTTTCCATAAAAATCCCATCAAGAGTAAAAATCAGTTTTTTTGAGATAAACTTGTTTTGATCAAAATTAGTATGTTATGGTCCTTATAATTCTAAAAAAATAGTACAACACCCTATTGTAACAATTCTGGTACAAAAGTTATTGCAACGTTTGTGATTTTTAACTATAAAATATCATATTTACTCTCACCGCTTACCCATGATAAAGATTGTTGACAAACTTATGGGAGAAAGTATGTTTCAGAATGCTGATACCATTTATTTTGTATTTTTTAGAGTACTTAGCTGAAGAGGCAAACAATATAAATAATATTAAAAATTCATTTAAATAATATTAAATATCAATAATTAATATTAAAATATTTAAATAATATTATATAATTAATATAATTTAACGGTGTGTAGGGTAAAACCGTGAAGTCTAACCCTGGTTGAAAATAGCCAAATACGATGGCTTATTATTATACTGATACATGAGATAAGTGACCGATGAAAGTGATGATAAGTGAAGTAGATTTGAAAGAAGAGCGTTTCAAAAAGTTGCCACGAAAAGAGTGCGATAAAAGAACGAGAGTTTGACCGACTTGTATGAGGGCTCATGCACCGATCATTCGAACCTAGAAGATTGTAATAACTGTATACTATCTGCATGCCTATGTGACTCATTAAACTGCTATACCTTCAGGATGATAAAGATGCCTCAAAAGATATAAGGATATTAACAAGGCCCTCATATATTTTCGTTAAATTCAACGACGTGAGTTAGAGGAGATACTTGGACTTATGCTATTTATTCAGAGGTTGGCCACCTCTTTTACCTTGCATTTGCCCGTTCACATGAGCCATAGAATAAGCCTGTGCGACGAACGTATTTAGCAAAGCAAGGGGTGAGCCGTTACACTACTAGGTTGGATGATCTGTTCTGATAAAAGGTAGAGGGAGGTACCAGGGTCAAACCCAAGACATCGGGCCCTGAAGTGGTATTACTTCTAACATATATTAAAGATACTAATTTTATCTATGCTTCTAGAAGTGAAGCTTTTTGTGCCCTCCAATCAATCTGTCACCATGCATCAGCAATACAGATTCCATCCACACCCTGCAAATTCGAATGCATTAAAAGGAGGTGAGTTGTCGTGTGTTCTACCGAAATGTATGAGCCACCCCGACAACTTAACCCATACAACCCACCACTAGACATTAAATGATAAAATTTTATGAGAAGGTGGTGATAAATAATGTCGAGTATGCTCTCGTCAAGGTGCCACCATTTCACCCCCCACATAAAATTCTTCTTCTTTTTTCTGCAAGGTTGTTGGAGTGACACCTTAATACATCCCCCTTTTATGGTAGAATATTATAATGAAATAGCCAAAAATAGGATTTTAACACACCACCGTTTGGCTAGGACAATCTTTTGAGGCCATGTTTGTGGCACTCTGTTTTACCAACGGAGACGTAGTTTAATAATATACCGGTCCAACTCACAACCTATGCTCTAATTTGAGATTTCCTTCCGACTGATTTTGTGTACAGTCTTCAGTGAAGTAAAAAATTAACTACTACTTAATTAACTACTACGCTTCAAAATGAAGAATATTTTGCACTGCTTTGATGTATAATCTGCAATGGTCCAAAAAATAATATGCCATTCGCAGACGTTTTGAGGACCATATAATATGTAAAAGTAACTTTTCTTATGCAGCAAGTAAAATTGAATAATTCTCCTACCTTTACTACTAAAAAGTATACACGGTTGTAGTCAAAGGGGAAATAAATGAACACAAATGAAAATACCCCTTTATTTATGCTCCTGTTATCTGAGTTTCTTGTAAATGTTCTTTGACGTCTTTTGTCGATGGTTCTGTGCTGACAAGGAAGTAGTCTTCCTTTGATGGTTTGACTGATGTTCTCCGTCTCTGAGGCAGGAACCTTCGTATTGGTGGAGAGAAGAGATGAGGGTCCATTGAGGAGAGATCCTGAGGACTTGTGAGGTAAGACACAGGAAGTCCTACAAGGAACACGATTAGACAGCCGACCAAGCAGTAGTGCATGTAGGACAATTGGAAGATAAGGGCTACTGACTCATCAGCAACTACAGGAGTTCCATAACCGGTCCAGGTCTGAACATTGGCTGAGGCACTGAAAAAGAGACACTATTTAATATTAGGTTGAAGAATCTTGAGTTATTGGCTCAAGGTAGCGCCACGGACCTCGGACCCAAGTCAGCGATGTCGTGGGTTCAGATGGGTTCAGATCCTGGTACCTGGCACTACTTTTTACACGCTTATTCTGTACTGGATCACCCCTTGCTTTGCTGGATATGTTCCACACACAGGGCTCTGTGACACATATGTGGCCGGGCAAATGTAAGGTGAAGTAGGCCTCCAAACCTTTAAAGAAAAAATGACATTGAAATCCAAAAGATTTTGCATACGTAGTCAACTCACTAGGTAAGGAGAATTTGGAGCACTATTTCTGTTAGAAAATTCTTGTAACGTTGTATTTGTGGACACGCACTATACGGAACAGTAAAAATTAGGAAAATGTACACAAATAAATGAAAGGTTATGTCATGTTAGGTTATGATTTAATTTCAATTTCGGGCTTAAAAATAATAAACATATTCCTTTGTTAATGTTTCATCAAAGGCCAACACTGCGATGATGTTTAGTTATCAACATGCCTAGTATCGTAGACTATTTATGAATGTCAAACTATTTATGAGTTCAAGGCCACTTTAGTAAATAGGTCAAGTAAGTCTGAGCTCAGGGGTGCAAAATGTTTGTTGGGGGCCCAATGACGAGAAAAGTCCCCATTAAGGGGGTCGCAAATGTCTCTTGGCCCATACCGCGTCACATGCAAACCACAGCCAGTGAAGTATGAGTTATTGAAACATATAAAATTACGTTCTAAAAGCTGAGAGTTGTAGGAAATTAAGTGATTAGTCAACGTCGAATCTATCTGTAGAATAGAATTAAATACTGTTATGCTTGTACAAAATAAGTACCTGTAGGTAAAATTAGCACTGCCATAAAATAAATCTTGAATAAAGTTTGAAAAACTTACTTGAACCCCAGAGAGGCAGTAAGATTAGCTGGGCATCCTGCCACACTTGTTACTTTTCCTGGAAACTTGAGAAGACCTCGTGCAATGTACCACTGAGCACCAAAGACAATCCCTGACATGCCAAGCAAGCTTGCCACGCCCCCAGCGATTGCTCCCTAGAAAAATAGGTTGTACAGTAATTAAAACCCTAAATGCCAAAAATGCCTTATTGTGAAAAACTTTGGAATGATTGTTGTTTTTAAACAAAAAATCATCTATATTTAGTAATTTTTCTTAAATTTAATCAGATTATTTTAATTCTTTTTTTAGAAAGAAAATTCTTTATAAAATATAAACAAAATAAATAAAAAATTGGGAAAGTTCATTAAATTAGCTTACTTTTGAATTAGCCCGAGGGAAAAACAGTCCCAAGCAGAAAACTCCAACCAACGCTCCATTCGTGACACCAATCAGACTCAACGCCATCTGTTGAATAAATTATTATAGGTTAACTTCCAGAGATAAGAGAGAGTGCATTTCATATTTAGTTTCTGTGGGAGAGTGGTAGATTTATTTGACCTCACATTATTTTACAGGAGTATGAAACGTAGAGTTATAATGACTTGTCATGTAAAAAAAATATGAATATGAAAATGTAAATAACCAAAAGTGTATTCAATAAATGGTATATATGTTTAAGCAGTATGAGTCATGAACCTCAATCCACGTTCAAAAGAGCTTAGAACTTATAGTTAATGCCAAGCATGCATGGATTTATTATATCAACGATACAAACAGGAATATATAAACATAAGATAAAACGCTATTTCTAAAGATAAATAATTGATGTAAATAAGCAAAAAACTCGACAGGATGTTAGGAATGAGAAATATTATAAGGGCTTTGCAATTGAGAGTAAACACATAAATATTAGAAAGATTTATACTATGATGGGTTATTCGGAAAGATAGTGCTACTCACCACTTAAGTGTACCAAATATTGTGTGTTTCATCTGTGACTATTATGCTACTCTATTTCATGCTTATCGGTATGCATTATAATCACAGATACCTGAAAGAGAGCTCCGAGTTTCTCCACAATGAAGACCAGCGCCACACAGACCAGACCCAGCACCAACACAATGACCTTGAGTATGAGGGACTGAGAGGCCTCAGACAACTTCTCTCCCTTCAACACAAACTGGACAAAGTCCTCGTACAGCGTACCAGCTACTGTGTTGAGACCAGCGGACATCGTGCTGAGGACAAAACAACACTTGTAGTGTGGCTGATCACAGACCAGACCCAGCACCAACACAATGACCTTGAGTATGAGGGACTGAGAGGCCTCAGACAACTTCTCTCCCTTCAACACAAACTGGACAAAGTCCTCGTACAGCGTACCAGCTACTGTGTTGAGACCAGCGGACATCGTGCTGAGGGCAAAACAACACTTGTAGTTTGGCTGTTCAAAGACCAGACCCAACACAATGACCTTGAGTATGAGGGACTGAGAGGCCTCAGAAAACTTGAGCACCATTTCTGATGCCCCTGGGGGAGTGAAGTAGTTCTTCAGTTCTATCTAAGCAGCCTTGGCTGACCGAGGAACTACCGCACCCCAGCCCCCCAAGGGGCCTCAGACAACTTATCTCCCTTCAACACAAACTGGACAAAGTCCTCGTACAGCGTACCAGCTACTGTGTTGAGTTGAGACTAGCGGACATCGTGCTGAAGACAAAACATGATATGATAAATTTATTCAGTGTACATGAAAGTTAAGGTTTGTCTTAGAAGATTTATGCGTACAGTAAAATCACAGTGTTTAGCCTGTAGTATGTATGATGTAAACTCTTTTCTGGCTCTCAATCTACCTAGTTTTAGGTATGGTCCGGGTCAGTCCTAGGTAGACGAAGGGCCAGGAGACAGGTCTTATCATACAGCCTATAAAAGTAAGTAATGTAGACTGACCTGAGAGCAGCACTGAGCACTCCAGATATGAATAGTCCTGTTAATCCAGGGAAGTCCCTGGCTACGTCCATCACATAGTACGGTAGAATCTGGCTGGTCTTCTTCGCCATCTAGAATATCCAATTATATTTGGCACAGTACCGGTAAGTCAAAGTTTCAAATCAATGTAAAAATTTTATTCACATAAATATCATAGTTGCTGGTACCACCAAGATGTTAGGTATAGAGGAAATCATTCATTGGTGCACTTAAGTGGTGTCTAGGACATAGTCCAACACCCTAACACCTCGTGCACTCCTTTCTCCATCGCCATAATTTACTACAACGCTTATGCTGGAGGTAGACCCACTGTTCAGTGAGATTGGAACTTGCGCACAGTGCCTGTCGTTCGGGTTCCTCCTCGCTCGTCACAAGTATATTTCGCCTAGCGTTTATGTACATGTACGCACAAAATAACAGAGCTGAAAGCCTAGCACGGTCGGCCCATAAGCGAATTTCCTCTGTACCTTAGTTCTCTGTGCGGTACGTCAAATTATTTACATGTTTGGTTGTGTGTTAATGAGACCTTGTGTCGGGGAGCAAGCTGTAGCAGTGAGGTCCCGAATTCCAATCCAACCACATAACCAATGAATTTGATCTAAGTGATAATGCCGCAACCCCTAGGCTCATACTGGAGTAATGTAAACAAAAGAATGCCTAGCGTCTTTTAAGTTAAAAAAATGTTGACTGTTATTTTGTGTTCAAGTATGTTTTTATTCAAGATTAGTATATTGTGTTTCCGTTATTCAGCTATGGAATTTAAATATTAAAGTACTCAACTGTAAAGTGTTGGCAAATTAAACACTCTTTAACCATATAATACTCACCTTGATTGCTACAGGATCACAGTCATGATAAGTTGCGTACAGAAGGAGGCCGATACAAACAACCAAGGACTTAATCACAAAGAAACCGATGAAACTCCAAAACATCACTCTAGAATATTGATAAAATTAAAAATAAATTCATGTTGTGTACAAACACCCAGAGCCGGCCTTAGGCACGTTAGAAATGTGCGGGGTGGGGAAGCCCCCGTACTTGGTACAAAATACAAAAACAATTTTAAAAGGTGTGAAATGAGGTGGAGTATAATTACACATATATACATTGGTATATACATTGGGATTTTAGTTAGTTATAATTGTAGGGATACAACTTTTTTGGTTGTAAGGGGCCCTGCTTTGGATGTTTGCACTTGCCATTCCCCAAGGCCGGCTCAGTAAATACCTTTTCTTTATCCTGAATAAAGTAAGTTTTTATCTGCTAACTTACCTACCAGTAGTTCTAAATATTCCATACAGTTCTTGGTGTCTTTTAGGGCTTTATACACACTAATTGCCGGAAAATATGTTCGTAAAGGGAATCCTTCAGTTCCACAGTTTAATCCTAAGGGATTCATACTGTTAAGTTTGGTAGTCTATAAAACTCAAATAATATAAGTATTTAAAACATTTACTGTTGGAAACCTGGAACTTGTGACTTTAAAACGTATGCATTTTAGGTTAATATCTTAAAATGTCAATATATAGATATATAGGTTGAGGTGATTCGGTATCTCAGTTGGTAGCGTCACGGACTTTGGGTCCAAGATAGCGATGTCGTGGGTTCGGATCCTGGTCACTGCCACTAAAATTTATCAGTACAGTTTACCTTCGTACTGTACCGGCTCACCCCTTGCTTTGCTGGATACGTTCCACGCACAGATCTGTAGTCTATGTGAACGGGCAAATGCAAGGTTAAAAGAGGCCGCCAACCTCTTAAAAAATAGATACAAATTTCAACTCACGCTTTGGACTCTTTGATGGTAGATACTGCAATGAACCTCTGCACAGCCCCAGGATGGACAGCTATCTGAGCCAACCAGAAGAACACCGAACCAACCGAGACAGTCCAAAATGTGTTGCGCTCAAAAGGATTTAGGTCAAAGCTGGAAATAATGGAGTATCACTTTATTATAAACATCAAAATCTCTACAAAGTAGTTAAGACTGGAATCCATAAATATAGAAGTATTACACAATTCACCAAGCACACTGCTTTTTACCATAGACTAAGCAACACAAGTGTCTCCTCTTATACATAGTATATGGACAAAATATTGATTTCTTCAACATTTTTGAGATTGAGTTTTGGTTGGATACATTTTGGGTCCTCCTGAACTCCAAAAAGTTGTTTTTCGAAGTCTCCATGTATGTGAGAGGATGAGTACAGAGGTACAGACCCCCGTGGTTAGTTTTTTATATTTTTTTTTGTATGTACTAATCCATAGTATCACTGGGAGTGTTAAACTTCTTTGAAACTTTGATTTTTAATGGCGATTTTCCCATTAAACTCATAAAATAATGGAAAATCTGGTTTTCACAAAAACGGCTTAAACCATTTTGATTAAAATTTAGTATATTATGGAACCGATGCTGTAGAGGACTTACTTGAGGAACTCCAGTCTGCCTCCTTCGTCATTGATCCTCCATACCTCCTGTATGCTCCCCACCCTCAGCAGACCTAGGATGGCGATGAACATTGTGGACGAGAGGGTGAACACTCCCTGTAGTGTGTCTGTCCACAAGACTGCTTTCAGTCCACCCTGCAAACCAGAATAAACAATAACAATTTGCTGTATTTCACCACTAGAGCGTAAAGTGACTCATTTCGACCCAAGCTGAAGTTTTACAACAAAGCTGTGGTCAGAAAACGAGTGAGAATTGAAAAGACACTTTTTGACCGTGTGATAAACTATATTTTTTGTCATTGTACTATTAACACACTCTTTCAAACCAACTTCCAACTTGTTTTCAATTTTGCTAATGCCAACAAGCAGCGATTTACTAAGTAATTAATTATTTTCGTATATTACAATAATTGTGTTAGTATATTATCATTGACTATTGGATAGATATTATACTATCCATAAACAGGAATGCAACAATAATCTACAACCCATTCAATCAATAGATACATAATTTCGATACATGCGATTGCTTACAAAGTTTACAACTGATTTTACAACAGAAGACTTTAACTCCCTAGGCCTTTTACTCCCTAAGGAGGAAAAAAGCTACTTTAGACCCGCAACGCAAAAAAAAACTGCTGTTTTTGCTGCAGTATGAAGAAAATGATTTTTTTTAAATTTTGGTACCCACAGCTATCTTCGGACCATGTGCAGGAGGTATTACAATTGGGTGATAAAGTAAATCTATAATCTTGCATTTATTTGTTTGTATATTATCTTGCTTGTTTTTGTTGATATTTATGATAATATTGACACTTTAACATTTTTGCAGATATGATTATGTTTGTAAATAATTCTTATAATAAAATTATGGCATTATACTTACAAATGAAGTGTAGAAGATGCATATCAAACTCACTATCGGACTTATTATATGAACAGACACTCCAGTCACTGAAAACATAATATAGTAAGAATATATAGTATAGAAAAATAATAGTAGCGTTGTCAAATTAAATAATTCTATAACCTAGATCAGCTGAAAAAATTTTAAGGTATATGTCCATTTTGAGTAGAAATTATTATTGTTTCAGTTTGTTTCTGATCTAGGCTAAAAAATTTGGTAATAAAAGGTTTATATGTGAATTAAATAGCTAAAATATATTAAAAAAAAATTATCTTGAATTGATAAGTTTTTAAAAGTAAATAAAGAAATAAAATGCCCTTTCAATGTATTTCAATACAGTACAGAACAAATATAGAATACAGTATTTACCTTGGTTAAAAGCAAGAGCAGGAACATAGATGACAACTGGAATAAAAATAACCTGAAAATAAATGGATGGGTAGAGTTAACAAAGTTTTTTTGAGACAGTAAATATACATTAAATTAATATGACACAACAAGCCACGTTATGATTCTACTATGATTTCATCTATTTCCGATATCTTGGAAAACGTATGAAAATATTGCATTTGAAGTCCTTGAAACAATTATTTTTGTATATATATAACATTACTTATGTTATTTTTGGGGCGATAAACTCCCATTCATACTGTGAAATGATGTTTATACAGGTATAACTAAAATAAAATACTAACTAGAATATGTATTTACAGTATCATTGTAAAAAAAGTTTTTACAAACCACATGGTAACATAAATAACATATTGACTGTGTAAAAATTGTTAGACAGTTGTCATTCTTATAAATATACTAGCTGTTGTACCCGTGCTTTGCAACGGGAAGAGGACACAAAATAGAAACATTTTAATCATTATCTCTTGCATATAATAGTTACAGATCCGCCAACGCTTTTAGAAACAAAATTCAACTTTTATAGCCTTAATAGAAACGTTTAAGTTATGACTTTTAAGTCTGGTAAGTAGTGGATACCACCATTTTGGTTTTGATTAATTTTAAATCTTGTGGAGGCTGATATGAGAAAAACTGACCAAATCTTCGAGTAAAACTTGAACATAATTTACCAGATTTACCTTCATCTCCCTTAATTACAAACCTTTTAATTTATTATTGACATTTTAAATTTCAATTTTGAAGTTGCAAAAATACTAATTACTAAATTTAAATATCTTTATATTAAACTCTTCTTTATATTAAATCACAAATCCTTTCATCTTCAGTTTTTTCACTCACAATAAATCATTAGCAAAACTAAGTCAGCTGTTATAAACTTTAGAAATGTTGCCGTGCCTTATCAATACAGTCTTTTGAAATATTAAAGAAACTATATCCATAGGTACTATAAAAAATTCAAACAAATAATTTAGCATTAAAGACAGCAGACAAAACTAATATGATTATCAAAGCATCAAGGACTAAAAAGTCTAATAGCAAATACAGAATATGTTTTATTGCATCTCTGATTCTACCATACAAAAATATCAACAAACAACTTAATATACAAACCAGTTCTTTTAATCAGTTCCATCGTCCATTGCCTTTACATTTTCACACTTACCATTAGGAAAACATAGTAACAGATATTTGATTGATTTTAGAAACGAAAGAACACTGTGTACTGCTTAGTCTTATGATATTTTCCTTGGTTTACTTTAATCAGTGGTGTGGCAAAACACAAACAATAAATTTATCAAATAAAGTAAAATTTGAACTGGAAGCTATGTTAAGATAAAATAAGAGTATTTTGTATTACCGCACATATACAACAGATTTTAGAAAACAAAAATCAAAGACAATTTAGTTATTGGTGGTATTCTTTAGTTTAATTTAAGCATAGGTTTATCAAAACACAATAACTTAATTTACCTAAATATACATATAAAAAACAATGTGATGAGCAAATTGTAGTTAATCTAACACATGTGAAGCAGTTTTAATTTATTTAAAGTAGTCTCCAAATTCATACAAATCATCTATACATTGTAATTTTCATACTGTTTCCATGAAAACATATCAATAACATTATTTTCACTTAAGATTATTAACTTTAGACGCTTTAAAAAGTCCAAAGCAGAGCCGGAGTTGATACAGCAACGGTTATAAAAATTTTTTTCTATAATCATTGACATAGTTTTAGAATAAATAATCCATGATAAAATGTTAGATCAAAATAAACCTACCTCATATTTATGGAAAATATTAATTCTTTGTATCAGCTGTCTGAAATTGTGAAATATGCAGTTCAGCAGTTCTTCTTGTTTATATTTAAATGTCAAAGCAAATGTAAACAAACATTGTTAGTGTTCTCATCACAGCCATGGAGACCAATCAATATTTACTTTTTAAATGTTCACCTAAGAACTTTTAAAACCAACGGGGCAAAGCCTACGGTCAGTATTGAAATGTGAATAGTCCTATAATGGTCCTTGGTATGGTAACTATATTTTTGTAAAATTTAAGCCCAGTTAGTTCAGTAGTTTTTGCACCTATTAGTAATACACATACAGACAGACACCATTAGATTTTTATATAATAGTATAGATTGTGGACATGTTTTACCACTAACTATACAACATAATTTTACCAAATTTAAATATTAATAACTTACCAGAGATATTGCAAATATTAGGGACGCAAAAGTTCTTGTTCCTTTGCTGAACCTTAGTTCTAAATACTGCAACAAAAAAAAATATTTAGTCATACAAACCAACATCTACAAACATTTTATGTAAATTGAACCAACACATCTATCTTAAGCAATTAAAAACATATTATGTGTACACACACACGTATCTTTCTACATCTATACTCTAATTAAAAATTAAGACGATTACAATCTTTTTTGTCACATTGTTTTTAATAAGTGAGGGTTGATAGGTGTGGGTAGTGAATCCACACCTCCACTCATCTATCACCTCTAACTATTGTAGAACTGGCAACGTTGCAAGTAGTGCTGATTGGTGCAAAACGTCCTATAAGCTAATGGCAGACAGGCGCCCTCTCAATTATTCCCGTGTTATTCATATTATTAAACAGCCTTACTGATAGTGTTTCCACTTCGAACGCTACGGCCTGAAGTTGAAGGTGGCCGTGCTATGATATACCTACACTTATAATGGAATACAGCTAAATACATTCTAGCACTTATATACACGTCAATAGTTTAGCTTTAACTGTCTGTATTCAGGCTTTAACTGATAGTTACCTCATACAAAGAGTTTAACTGGAGATCGAAGAAGACTGGGAGGAACAGATAGTTGACTAAGAACAGCATGGCGATGTTACAGAATGCTATTGCTATGTACTGAGTCCCGTAGGAGTAGATCTCCGCAGGGATACCCAGGAGTGTCACTCCGGATACATGGCTGGTGGATATACAAAGGTTGTTAATAAGTTAATAATCTAAAAGAAATCTGATAAATACTTTCTATCTTTATCTTGTTAACAACCCTTACCATGGGTAAGCAGTGGCAGTAAAATCACTACTTCTGCTTTATGGTACTTTATAGAGAAAATCACAAAATCTGCAATAACGTTTGAACTGTAATTTTTACAGCGATTAGGGTTGTGATGCCTTACTTTTGCCTCTACTTTTAACATCCACAGATGGTTGAGCTTTTAGTCTTAGTAATTTTGAAAATATCAAAAAAGAATGAATCAAGATCACTAATCACATCATTAGCGCAATGTAGTCCAATTAAAAATATCTATCAACATCGTTTACAAATACTTGTGTACATAATTATTTACAGTGTTTCAAACATAGCGTACCTAAATACTAGAGACATAGTGACAGGAAAGACGCCCATCTTCTTTCCTCCGAGCAGATATTCTGCTACGGTGTTCTGTTTCTTGAACCATCCGAAGTAGACTCCAATTAGCAGAGAGAATATCAACATGGAGCCAAACACCGAATATTCAACCCAGTTGAACATCAGCACAGCTGAGCTGAAATCTGTCCCGGTCTTGTTCATCTGAAAGTGAAGAGAATTTTAACACTGGTAAAACCCTAAGTTGTAGTATGAGAAATAATGAGTAAGCTTCCAGATGTTAAATTAGTATAAACACAACCATGGACTATTAATAAAGACAGAGGGAAATGTGGCAACGCCGCAGCCGCGGCCTACCGGAACAGTTGTTGATTAAGAATCCGTTGATACATCTTGGATAGTTTCAAACAGCTGCTGAAGAGTTATTTACCGTTCAAAAATATTTTTCGAACCACATTTTTTATGTTTGCATGTTTGTTATTGCCATGGCAACATGCCGGCCGGTGCAACGTTGCCAGTTCCCACACACCAAGCCCGTACGTGTAGTCCTATTCCGCCCGAGTTTCATTGCCGTGGCCTGGCTATGACGTTACTAATTAAGTATAACTTATTACTGGTTGATTCTAAAACATATTTGTGATATTATTTGACGATGGTGTTTAAGTGACACAATAACTATGAAACAAAGCCAACTTGTATTTACTTAATACAACAAGGGGTTTCTGTTACATCCCTTTTCAGCCACCCTTTTACGATTGAGGTGTAATTTTAAAGCTTATGATGTACCGGAGTGACGGTAAATAAAAAGGTCATGTCTTTAAGGCTTTGCCTTCATAGCGTTCGTTTTAAATAATTTATATCTAGAGTCCACTTTCAAAGATTCAGTGATTGTAAACAACTTTGGTTTACAACGTTATGTTAACAGCTGATCATTCAGTTGAACGTATAAACACAGCCAATTTGTCAACAATAGACCAAACGGTTTGTGAAAATGGATTTTAATATGCTATTTGTAATAACGGTAACATGTTTGAGATTCACTCTTTATTATTTTTATCAACCACTCTTTATGATGTAGAACTAAAAGCCAAAAATTTAGTTTGTGTACTGTAAATTAGTAGAGATAAAAATAAATTCACCTTATAAATATACAAAACAAACATAATACACATATTTAAAAATTATAGGGGTGTTGTATTGGATTTGTTTTATCTCGAAAAAAAGTCTTGAACACTATAAAAATGCGCAATTCGTGAACGGGTCCCCTTGTTGCTTTTAGAGCTTTAGAATACAAAATTAATGCTTAAGAATATTAGTTACAGTGTAATGTAATTGAATTATGTGTTGGTTTAGTTAAAACTGTTTAAGAATTTAAATGAAAATTTATTATGTTTTACAAATACTCTTTCAGATAGTATAATACATTATTTAAATTGGTTGAACTAATAATCAACGCAAACTAGGGGCAAATATAAACTTTATTAAATACGGGCTTACAAAGATTATTCACTGCAAGTCTTTGAAACTTAAAATAAACTCTTGAATGGTAATTAAAGTAAAATTAAATGATAGTTTGTCTAAGAAATAGTAAAAGGTACAAGTATGGAGTAATATAAAACTTTTCAGTCTTCTAGACATTTTAATTGGCAATTTTCTTGTTTCACGTCGCTCCCAGCATAACACAGCCTTAAGTGAAATCCAAACGGGTTCCTTCCAGAATATTGTTTTATCACAAGTTACAGTTTTTCCTTAAACAGATAATTTATTTAAAATTTTAACAAGTCTATTTAAATGTTAAGATCATTAACTTGATTTAAAATGTTCTCAAAAGTCTTGTGGATTTGCTCTAGGTAATAATAATTATTATTTTGTTTGATTAAATCGAATATTGATTTAATTTTTAAATTAATTTAATTAATTCATTCAATAAGTGTATACGACATGTTTATGTAATAATAAGTACTAGAGGTCGTAATTGGTTGAAAACTTGACCAAAAATATGTAATGTACAGACTTATCTAGTTTCACCCCACACTGTAAATAATACGTGTGATTGGAATTTCTTCAATTTCTTTGAGTTTCTGTTTTTATTTCCTTGTTATTTCGTCACCAACATGGCAACCCATAAGGCCCAAGTCAATTTGGTTATAATTTAAAATTAATTCGTTCTGCTTATTTTTGAGCCTATTTAAATTGAAAAAGGGCACACCTACAGTAAAATATCTTTCCAACAGTATGCGTAGATTTTGCCTGCGATTCACACGAGCTGAGAAAAAAGGTTTTAAAGAAACATGCTTGCCTATTAATATATAGACGATTAATGATAAGAAAGTAGAAAATCTAACATTTTATGAGAGGTTTTTACTGAAAATAAATACAATTTAGTCTAAAAATAAAAATAAACCAAACCGACTTTTTTATGTACAGTTATCCCTTTAAAAGCCTGTCGTATAAATACACAAATATTGCTATTACCATTAATTTTATAAATACCTTTTTTTTACAGACAACAAAGATGTGAATCCAAGATGAACGTAAGGTAAAAAGACAATTATAAGTCGTCGCGTTTCAGCAAAGATAACAATGTTTGATTAAAGAGGGATTTAACTCAAAACAACCGTCTTTTGTAAGAGAAAACTTTACCTTGTTGATGTAATGAATGGGAGCTTGTGTTTCCTCCGAGTATTTCGTGAAAGTTTAAGGAGTATTTGGAGTAGCAGCTTAGCCACTAATAAACCGAGAACTAAAGCAATCAATAGTAATTACGATAAATTGCTACATCAGTTAATTACTGATTGTTCTTGATTTAAATTGCAAAATATGAGAATAAATTGTAATAAAAATATAGAGCTATTTGCTAACATTTTGTATGAGAAAACATTTACCAGATTTGCAGGGTTTTGTAAGAAATAATATATATAATTATTTTGTAATTTTAGGCGTAATAAATATCAATGTATGTCTGAAAGACTGAAATTAAATGTAGAAGAGCGTAGGGAATCGGGGTTTTCATTATCTTATAAAATACGCCTTAATCTTTTGTTGCTAATAGGTAAACTAAGTTAGTGTTTTGATAAGTATCTCGTAAGTTTTCGAATGAAAAATAAAAAATGCAGCTAGATTTTATTTTTAACTACACTTTTTATTTTGAATATTAAATTAGTATTTTATCTTGTGTTCTGGAAAAAAGTATGCCTATTAAATAAATTAAAACTACTTAGGCCTATACTCACGCTAGTATGTAGATTGTTAACAATAATTCTTACCTTATTAATAAATTTAATAATTATAGACAAAGAAGAGTCGTAATGAAAATTTATAAATTCATTCTTAAAGTTGGCCGAAAAAAGGTGCTTGTAGGAAGTTGCTGAATGCCATTGTCGTAGAAATTTTTAGCAAATATTTAGGTAGATTTACTGACTTGAAGATAACTTATCTAATTCCTTGTTTGAATATTCATCCAACGTTTCTCAAGGTTAACTTTAGTGATCTTCTACACTTGCATCAAGCTGAAAAGTTTCCGCCAACAATTAAATAGAAAAAAAAATACAACTACGAGCTAAGTGGAACCTCTATAAGACCATCAATAGCAAGTGGTTTGATATTAGGTGCAATTTTCAAATCGTGATTTTATTTTAACCTCAATTAAATGTTATTGCAAGCCTTTATAAGGTTCAACCTTGATAAAAAGTTAAATTTAATCATAATCAAGAAAGAATTGTTATCAAGGTTCCACTAGTATTGATAATATACAAATATATATTTTATGTGAGAACACCCAAAATTTTGTAGCCAAACTTCAAAATTCCTACAATGTAAATCCTGGAAATAGTTGAAATGTCTTTTTACATTTGCTTAAACATTTTTATATTGACTTAAGTGCTAAAGAAGAAGATAACTTTATAATTTCTTCAATTTGTCATTGAAATATTATAGCAAAAAAAGGTATTAAGTGAAAAAAATGGAAATATATTATGTGTATGTCTGTAGTATACATAAATAATAAAAACACAATCAACGATATATGCAAATTAATCAGGTTTCTTTCATAAATAATATAATATAATTCGTATTTCAAATATTTGAAAGATAATTGTGATTACGAATGGATGTGTGTTGAATGAATGTAATTTTTGTAACGAAATAAGAATATTAGTACTGTACCTAATATTTATTTACATAATACACTTTAATTTCTTACATGGATATTATAATCCTGACCCTTACCCTTTGACCTTTTCAACGAAAAGCCTTTAGTAAAACACAACTTAATTTCAACGTCTACTTAGTCTTGCAGATGACAGGCCTTAGCGTAAATGTGGCGTAAGAGGAAACTACGTCTTGAATAGGATAAAGGTCGACAATTTAAAATCCAATCTTTCATAAATAAAGTTATAATGCGGGACATTACCGAAGTCGCCATTGATGGCAAATTGGTTTCCAACGCGAAGTTTACGTGAGTGAAATTGTGATTTTTCATGAATAATATTAAAGGCCTAGTCTGTTAACAAGATATAATATTTTAAAACCGAAAATCCTAAAAATGTATTCTCATTGCATATAGCCTGGATATTTGTTAATTTAATAACTTACAGGTTACAGTCCTTAAGGTCCTTAGGTTACCGTTTTGATTCTGAGAAAGTTCTGTAGCTTGATTGTGGGCTCATCTCCCCTAGATGATTTATATTTCTTCCAATAAATGGCCACCGCTACAAAAACATCCACATTTACTCTCTAAAAATGCTACTATTAATTCCATACTTACTTCATATTCAGTAAAATACCTACAAAAGAACATTAGTCATTATGTTGTTTACTGATTCAAAAATGAAGGGTACTAATGCTGGAAATATCTCTGAACATCCAGTAATACCTATTCCAATCAATAATAATAATACTCATGCTGCAGAAAACCTACAGACTACGCGAAATTAAATTTCTGATGGGATTTTAAGTAAAATAATAAATAATAACAAAGTCGCATTTACGCCTCATTTTATTAATATTACATTTTTGAGTACTTATATTTGCTTCTAAAAGAAAGGAAATAAGGGTGTATTTTTTGTTAATTGTTGATAGCTTGGTATGAAATAGATAAAAATTTGCAAAATTTGATCAATATATATATTATCCACGAACAAGCATATTACAACAGGTTTTTATTCTCTAAGAATAACATGGGAATTTCAAACGTACAGTTTTTTTTGAATTTTCTTCGTAACTTTTAATTGTACAACAATGCTTAAATATACCAAATTATTTGTTCTTCTAAGCTTATAGACGAGTCAATTTAGCCCAACAAAGCCTCTAAGATAGAACAAATTCCAACAAATGGTTTTTCGACGGTTTTTGGTAGTAATAGGTGTAGAAAGTACCAGGAAAAAAGTCTACCAAAATCGGACAACCGGAAGTCGGGTTTTTCCAAGATGGCCGCCGCGAGGCCCTCAAATCGACAAGATGACTGCAAATTCGTCGATTCATAGTTCCAGGATTGGCCGATTTCCACGAAAATTGGCAAACACATGTAGAACTATATTTCCAACCTTAAATATGAAAACTAGGCAGACAAAGTAACCCAAAGATGAATTTTCAGGGTATTATGTGCTAAAAAATAAGATTTATTTACCTCAAATATATGTTTTTCTAATATTTTGTACAAAGTTTGTTATAATTTCAAATTTATTTTTTCACCATTAGATTCAACACAAAAAACCTAACAATTTAGTATATTGAATATTTATTCTGCTTCAATTTGTTACAGAGATATTGAAAGTAATATATTTAGTATGTTTTCTTGCCGAGATAGCTCAATGTTAATCTTATGGAGAATAAGCATAAATATTAATATTTTTCATTAAACCTATATAGATAAGACTTTTTTTCTGCTTCATATTATCTGTTTTAATATTTTTTACTAAAAATTCCTTTTTTGGCAGTTACCATTGCAGCAAACCTACGTATTCGGTTCCTCAGTTTTAATAATAAAGAGAAAGAGCAAAAATCAATTTTTTTATTAGTCCGAGAAGTATAGAATATTACCTAAAAAAATCTCAAGAAAACGTTTTATGGTTTTGTGTTGTAGTTTTGGGTGTGCAGAGTCGGATTTTCCCAACATTGGACAGATTTTGAAAAAAAGATACCATAAGCATTTTCTATGCACAATTTTCTAAATATTGACTTGGGACCAACATCGATATTTATTAGGTGGTCAGTACTTCATTACGATGGGAAACGTATTTTGGCCGCCATTTTGGATCCACCTTATTGGATATAATTTTTTGTTGTTGTAACGACAGTGTTGTGACACATTATAACTATATATACTAGATTTTCACGCATATTCCATTGCCGAAATCCGTTTTTAAATACATTTTTTTGTTTTAAACGTTTTGTACTTTGAAATTTTTTACGATTATTTTCCTTATCTTCAGTTAGTAGTTCATTCTTAAATAACTAATGATGTAAGGGCTTACATTTGAGCTATTGATCATTAAAATCTGACGAGTTAGAGACTAGTTACCAACCCCAACAAAATATTAAATTTCACTTTTTAGAAATACATTTTTATTAAAATATTTATATCTCGGGTTCTTAATACGCCACCAAGTTCTTTCTGGTTTCAAATTACTCAGTAAATGTTTGGGTTAATTTTTTTAATCATTAAATAAAATGTGACAAATTTAATATGGGTCTGTCTTATTTAACAATAATTTTTTTTTCGAGATTAGTCTTAACCCCCAAATCGAAAAATAACTCCCAATACTCTTTATAATCTTAAAAGATTCATCAAAGTTCACTGTGACTTTTACTGTAGTTATGGATTATTTATTGGGAGTTATTAGAATTGGGGATATATTTACTTAACTAAAGACAAATTTCAAATGCAAATAATTTAATATTAAATTAAGGTGCATGACTCATTTTTTATTAATTAGTCAGATATTATTTAGTGACTAATAAAATAAAAAACCCAATTCTCTACTGAGTAATTTGAGACAACAAAGAACTTGGTGACGTATTAAGAACCCGATATATAAATCATTTAAAAACTGATTTATAAAAAGTTAAATTTAATATTTTGTTGGGATTGGTCTCTCGTCTCAAACTCGTCCAATTTTAATGATCAATAGCTCAAAATGAAAGCCCTTACATCATTAATTATTTAAGAATGAACTACTAACTGAAGATAAGGAAAATAATCGTAAAAAATTTCAAAGTACAAAACGTTTAAAACAAAAAAATGTATTTAAAAACGGATTTCGGCAATGGAATATGCGTGAAAATCTAGTATATATAGTTATAATGTGTCACAACACTGTCGTTACAACAACAAAAATTATATCCAATAAGGTGGATCCAAAATGGCGGCCAAAATACGTTTCCCATCGAAATGAAGTACTGACCACCTAATAAATATCGATGTTGGTCCCAAGTCAATATTTAGAAAATTGTGCATAGAAAATGCTTATGGTACATCTTTTTTTCAAAATCTGTCCAATGTTGGGAAAATCCGACTCTGCAAACCCAAAACTACAACACAAAACCATAAAACGTTTCCTTGCAATTTTTTTAGGTAATATTCTATACTTCTAGGACTAATAAAAAAATTGATTTTTGCTTATTCTCTTTATTATTAAAACTGAGGAACCGAATACGTAGGTTTGCTGCAATGGTAACTGCCAAAAAAGGAATTTTTAGTAAAAAAAATTAAAACAGATAATATGAAGCAGAAAAAAAGTCTTATCTATATAGGTTTAATGAAAAATAATATTAATATTTATGCTTATTCTCCATAAGATTAACTTTGAGCTATCTCGGCAAGAAAACATACTAAATTTATTACTTTCAATATCTCTGTAACAAATTGAAGCAGAACAAAGATTCAATATACTAAATTGTTAGGTTTTTTGTGTTGAATCTAATGGTGAAAAAATAAATTTGAAATTATAACAAACTTTGTACAAAATATTAGAAAAACATATATTTGAGGTAAAAAATCTTATTTTTTAGCACATAATACCCTGAAAATTCATCTTTGGGTTACTTTGTCTGCCTAGTTTTCATATTTAATGTTGGAAATATAGTTCTAAATGTGTTTGCCAATTTTCGTGGAAATCAGCCAATCCTGGAACTATGAATCGACGAATTTGCAGTCATCTTGTCGATTTGAGGGCCTCGCGGCGGCCATCTTGGAAAAACCCGACTTCCGGTTGTCCGATTTTGGTAGACTTTTTTCCTGGTACTTTCTACACCTATTACTACCAAAAACCGTCGAAAAACCATTTGTTGGAATTTGTTCTATCTCAAGTGCCTATATTGACTCGACTATTAGAACGAGAGCTACAATACAAATTAGGTATTTCCATATTTTAAGGGTGAAAATTTAAAGAAAACAATTTTGAAAAACTTGAAAACCCCCATAACGACTAGTTTCTATGACCCGATCTTGCTGGTAAGCAAACTCATTCAAGTTTATACAGTTTTACACATTCATATCAAATTTAATCAAAACCGGAAAAAATACACGATTTATCTTGTCCAAGGACTTATACGTGCAAACTTTTGAGCTATTAGTGTTTTTAGTCTCTCGAGACAACAAAATAAAATATCGGTCCCGGTTCTAGGTCTTTCCTTCCACCTACAGTCTAGAGAAATTCACCGAAACAAATTAAATTCATCAATTTAGAACAATATTTATAAATATTAAAATGAAATGGTTTACATTTCATAATTTAATTTCCAACCCAAACATGTTTCTTTAGCATCAAACAGAAGATATTTTACTGAATCATAATATTTACATCAAAGGCTCCTTTCTCTGGCAAAGCAAAGCCATGCAAAGACTGCAGGTAAAAAGACGTTTAACATAAGCCCCCCTAATTAACCACTGTTATCTGAGTAGAGGCTTCAATTAGTCTTTTTACTTCTCGCTCATCTTCGAGGCATCTTCACCGTCTTCTCATTTCTAAGGTAGCATTTTTTTCATAACAATCTTTTATTATTTTTTACAGTTATTGTAAAGAGAATAGTCCAGAGATTGTGTAGATATATTACATTTGATTCAAATTCTAGGAAAAATTAATTAGCACACCTAATATAAAACGGTTTGCAATAGCGTAAATGCTTTTCATTTGCATATGCTTCTGCTATTCGTTTTATAAGTAGTACCGTAGTTGTGCTAAAATGTTGCGAACTATTAAAGCTCAATCTTTTGTCGTTGAAACTGTTTCTATGGAATTGCACATAAGTCCAATCCAAATCTAGAACACATGATTAGATTCTTCAAGTAAAGTTGAAGGCATAGTCTAAGAACATCATGTGGTTCAGTTAAGAGCAAGTAAACCTTATCAGCCGGATAAGGGCTGTGTATTTTTGCTCAGCTGGTTTTATTGAATGTCAAAGCGGAAGAAAATTTGTAAACTAGAAACTCTGTTATTGTTATACCCAACTTTTAACAACTTCTTTAAAGCTGTATTTTCAGTCATATTATAGTCCATACACATATTAAAATGCTTAAGCACATGATTTAACAAAGCTATATGTTTCAATTTCTTTTTAATGACACGACTCTCCCCAGAAAATCCCGATTTAAAATCCTATTATTTAAACTAGTAGATAATTTTAAACAATAAAAGAAACATTCGTGAAAACAGGTACAAAGAAATTTCTTCGATTATACATCAAACCTACAGACTAGTGAACTTCCATGCATCTGATTGGATTTTTACTAAAATATTTCCTTAACCATGTCAGATTTATTTCCTATAAAAAAATTGGGTTTAACAGGTTTGCTGCCACGGCGAAGGGAAACGTTTTGCAATAGAAAATGTGTAAAGCAAAAAATAATAATACATTTGCAAATTTGGTAGAAATATATGAATAAACCAGGTGAACTACAGCCGTTTACTTTTCTCCAATAAGGAAAACATGGTCAGATTAAATTTACAGTTTCTGAAATTTCCTCGTAATCGTTTATCGTACAACGGTTCAATAAACACAATTATTCGTTTTATCAAGATATATACATGGTTGTAAATAAATTCGTTATATAGTGTTTTAGCCCATTGAAAAAGAAAATTTTTCCCGGGTCTAGGTCTCACCATTCCACCCACAATACCTATTCACCTAATAAAATACCTAAAACACGTTTTAACTTTTCCAGATGGAACGACAAGAGACCGACCTAGGATCAGCTGTTCTCATGTTTAACTGGATAGAATACTTGGTGTTTGGGACGATGTTACTGCTATCACTGCTCATCGGGGTCTACTTTGGGTGGATTAAAAAGCAGGACACGGTGGCAGAGTATTTGTTGGGTGGGAAAAAGATGGGCGTCTTCCCCGTTACGATATCACTGGTAGCTAGGTATGTCGGCATAGATTAAAGAATAGACACCTACTACTCTGTCTACTCCTTTAATGTATGGTATCTGTAATCTTGTAAGAGATGTTTCCTCTAATGGGATCAAAAAATTATAAATACTAGGTACATTTAAAGTAAAAAAAATCTATGAGATTAACTACAGAGCAAGTGATAAACGAAAGTGTCAATACATTTCTAGGTGTTGGGATGAAAAATAATGATGTTAAAACAAACGTAGAAAGTATTTTGATTGCACTTGCAATACGATTAGGGCTTTAAACAAATAACATATTACCATTTACTCTGATAGATTTTATATAAAGAAGTGATAAAATTTACCCCTAACAAATTAAATCTTTAGACTGGTTAGAGGAAAAAGTTAATTCTGACTTAATTTGCCACTTTATCCATAGGATACGTAAACAATAAGTAATGGAATGAAGTGTAAAATAGATTTTGATTGCATTTAAATTGCTATGTTTTCCTCATGAAGGTATATTGGATTTGGGATTTGGCTAGTCAGTCATACTGTAAGCTCTGCTTGTATATTTAGCCAGAGATATTTGGATGATTGAAGTTAAATGTTATTAACGGACACGTAATTTGCTAAAGTGTGATTGGGATGAGGATATGCATATGCAGGTTTTTACTCTATATTAAATATTAATATCAAAGGTAACATCAAATTATTATGTGTAACATATATGGTAAATATAGAATCAGATTACCAGTTTTTACTTTGTTGTCACCGTTGAATTACTTAAAATAGTCCAAGGATCATCGACAAATTTGAGCTACAAAAACGTTAATCCTTTTTTGAAATGGTTGAGATTGCAATCAGAGCGTTTAGGGTTGAACATAATTGAATAGTATTTTACGTAAATAATGCAGATACATGAAATTAATTAGCTTAATAACAAATAGTGCTGTTCAAAAAAAGTTGCATACTATAAATTTACTGTATATAACCATAGACTAAGATATAACTTACTTATTGTTTTTAACACTTTAACGAAAATCACAATTACCCACACTTGTTAACGACAAAACAATCTCATCTAATGGTATCCCTGTATTCTTTACTTCATTACCGATCAGCTGATATGCATTGTTGCATAGCTATACAGCAAGGTGTTCTTATATTAGGAATTTATTATCAATAAGACTCAATACTATTTAATGATGCTCGATACATATCAGCTGATCGGCAATGAAGTAAACGAAACAGGTATGCCAACGTCTATACTTATTTAATACGCAAGCAGGTTTTTTGTGACAATTACTCCTCCGAAACTACTGAACCAATTGAAATGTTTTTGGTGTCATTGGAGAGAGCGTAGCGTGAAGTTGTGCAGGAAACTTTCTTTTTAGGAAAATAATTATAGAGTGAGGCCCTGGTGCCCTTTAAAGTTTAGTATTTATCCATAAGATTAACATGGGAAACAAAAATTGTTATGAAACTCCAGCTGTTATCAGAAATTAAAAGTGAGAAGAAGAACATATGCTAATTGTAAACAGTCAATAAGTTTGCTAATATAACAGTTTACTACAAACATTTACTGACTTGGTTGAAATGAAATATTTACTATTTGAATTTGGGTTGGTGTAAATATTACAATGGAAAAAAGCTAGAGAGCCTGGATAAATTGATACAATCTGTTATTTACATCTTGAGTATTTCCATATCCTTTGAGTCGAATCATTTAAAGTCATCAGAACTATGACTGTTATTCGTTTTAAAATAACACCTGTAATACTTAGCAATTGCTCGAATTCGAGCAACAGGGACACTAGTTTAATCTTATTTCGTAATTTTATATGGGTTGCGTTAAAAATCCTCTTGTAAATAAATATTTAAATATTATACATAAATAAAATATTTGCATTTTGTATTTTACAGCCACATATCAGGGATAACATTGCTTGGCGTGCCATCGGAAGTATATGCCTACGGGACTCAATACGTCGCCATATTCATCACCATTGTATGCGTTTATTTGATAATCTACTATTTGTACCTACCAGTATTCTTCCATCTACAGTTGAACTCAGCCTATGAGGTAGGAATATTAAGCTAACTTTTTTGTTACATTATTGGTTCTTTTATTAATTTTTATTTGGCTTCTTAATTTTAAGCCAAGGAAATATATGAAGTGTAGGACCATCTCACCTAAATTTTAGAGGGTTCTAGTGTATTGGGTTGAATATTAATCAAAATCCGTGCCAACAGCTGATTGATTTATCACTTGACGCAGAATATTGTCATTAGTTGGTAGACCATCTCAACAGATTACACCAAATTTTTTGGCTTCAACTCTTTACATTGTATTGGAAGTCTAGAGTGTGTATAGTCAATGATTTTAAACAAAATTCTGGATTTAATAAACCAATAATAATCATAGAAACTCTTAATACTAAAAATATAATCAATGTTATAGTCGTAAAAAATTCCCTAGGGAGTAGACCATTACCTCAAAGGTTTCAAAAGTGGAACCTAGACTTGAGAAAGTTTTTTTTTCGTTTGGATGTTCCCAGAACCCAAAAGCACAATCAGTTCAGAATATTATATATCCTTATACAGCATATCCACCACAACGTCTTACTATGAGACCTATAGCTGAATCCTTTATGAGAAATCTGCTAAAATAGGACATACTGTATCTCTCAAACAAGGAATCAGTATTGCAGAACTTTGATCACCAATAGCTATACGAAAACCATTTAATACTTCACAACTATTCTTTACTCATATGTATCTAGAAATCAGGTTGATTTGCACACAGAAATGAACGTTTTGACTAAAATACTTGACAAAACTAATGGTTATCTCATTTGCAGTATTTGGAGCTCAGATTCAGCAAAGGCACGAGGACTCTAGGATCGTTAATATTTTCCATCTCTCTCGTAAGTTATAACTCTGCTTTGATTTATCTGTTGCAATATACTCTTTAACAACCTGACATTTCAATCTTATTAAATCCTGCTTTTTGAGTATATTTTGTAATTTTATCCTTAAGTGAAATTTAATGAGGAGTTAGTGGTTTGTCATATTTTTTGTAAAATTTAACACGAAGGAGTATATAATTAGATTTTTATTTGGTTTAATTCACCTCTTAAATAAATTATTGTTTAAACTCCAAATAATAATGTACTTGTGTATGACTTATAATACTATTTTAAAAAATGTACAAAATTTTTTTTTACATGATGTAATGAGATTAAATTTAACTCAGCTTAAAAATTGGTTAACGAAAAACTAAAATATTTTATGGTATTTAAATAATTTAATGTTAACCTATAATTACTATGTTTATCATTGAAACAATTTCATTTCAGATAATTTTCATACCTATAGTGATCTACGTTCCTGCATTGGCTTTTAACCAAGGTAAATTAACTATTTACGTAATTCTTTTTTTTAAACATAAGGCATTTGAAATCCATACAGCTTAGACCAGAATCAATTAATGGTTTGTAAAATTAAGTTTGCTCATATATTATATTGATTTCTGTTATCTTTTTATATTTGGTGAACAGTATCTTTCTTTACGTATTCTCTGCTCTTCAGCGTACATTCTGCTCTGCACGAACTTACCAGAATTTAGACTGGTAAGTTATCTTTTTGTAAAGTAAGTCGTGAGGTACGAAGCATGTTGAGATTTTAAGCTCAAAAGAAGCTTGGTATCTTACTCTTATGTAAATGTGTTTGCCAAATATTACTATACTTGCTTTACTAGTAGCTTTTTTTGTTATTTTTGTAAATGATGTGTGGGAAAATAAATTGTTTAAGCTTTAAACTTTTTTTCGCAGTGACTGGGGTTTCTGTTCATCTAATAAGTTTGATCACCAGCCTCATTTGCATCTTTTACACTTTATTTGTAAGTATGTTACTTTAACCCCACAAGAATGCGTCTAGATATTAAATATATCCATACAATGAATGTTCTATTGGTTAGTTACTAAACCGAAATCGAGCATTTCTGTATTTGGTTCTAATAACACAGCCAAGAAAATGTTCAATGGAGTAAGCAAAATAATTTCTAGTATATCCTTGTATATGGAGAGCTAGCTGGTCTAGTGGTTAGCGCGCGGGACTCCGGTTCCTGGGGTCCCAGGTTCAAATCCCACCAAATCACCAATAGATTTTATCTAAGTGCTAATGCCGTAACCCCTAGGTCTAGCCTGAAGTAATGTGCAAAACAATTCCGGGCTCGTGCCTAGCGTCCTAGGAAAAAAGTATATACAAATTAAATGTGATACATTAATTAACACCTTAAATTTATAATAGTAAGAAAGTAGAAAGTAGAAAGTATAGTAGAAAGTCTATAATAGTATAAACAAACAATAATTCTCTATGAGCAAAAAAATAAAAAAATTGCGTAATAAAGATGGAAAAGTTACATTGGAAAAACGTTGTTAAAAAATATAAAAGGTAAATACGAAGTTTTTGGACACATTCTACAATGCAGCCACTGTCAAAACAAGCTTTATGTTAAAAGTTAATTTATAAGTAGGGGGAGATACTACATATTGCAACAAAATACTACTATAACACTAAATAACGCAATTCGCAGGGAGGCCTGAAGGCAGTAGTGTGGACTGATACCCTTCAAGGGATGTTTACCCTTACTGCCATGTCTCTGATCCTCATACTTGGCTACTTGAAAATCGGAAGTTTTCACGAGATTTGGAGGATCAACCAGGAGGGATCTCGACTGGAACTGTTCAAGTAAGTTTGGAAAGATTCTTAATAATTGGGAAAGGTGGAGCTAATTGGTTGAAATTAGAGACATGGAAGTTCATTCAATGACTTACTAGTATGAATAATTCTATGTCTGTAAAATGTGTTATAACAAACTATAGGACTAAATGCTTTCTTATTAATGATTTCCTAATTTTCATATATTATGAGACAAATTACTGCACCTCGATTATTCTTGGTACTTATAAGTATTTTTTGAAGTGTTAATATTTAGTTTAATTTGATTTAAACAAAATGTAATGCCTAGTGAATACAAATTAAATGATGAATTGACCATATATTAAAGTTTCATGATTCTGGTAAGTTAATTTTTACATTCAGTCAAATTGATCACCCACAGAACACAATTCCAGCTGTGTATCATAATCTGCCTCAGGCATTAATAATAATTTTTGACCGGATCATTGTCTAGGTCAGATTTTATTTTGGTTTTGACCTACTTTTGAATTTGTTGAATGAACAGTATCAGCAAACCAACATACTGTATCCCATCTTCGAGTATTTGTGTCAAAACTTCTTAATAATGGGTAAGGTGTGGGAATAACTATGGTCACTAAGCAGTAACTTATGAACTATAATCGTTTCAGCATTATTTTGTGGCTATACCATTTTGCTTAAAGTTAAAAATACATGTACTAAATGCACTAAATTGTTATGAAAATCGTTTGAGCCGTTTTTGTGAAAATCTAATTCCTGTTATCTTACGGGTTTTTTCATGGGGAAATCACAATTAAAAATCTAATCTTAAAAAAAGAATAAACAAAATCCTAGGGATACTATATTTTAGTACCCAAATACCAAATTTCGTATAAACTACAGGTGAAGTCTGTACCGGGAATGTTGCTGGAAGTCAACAGTCCCGGAAGATCAATTAATTTATACCTGTGCCGCTAGGTCAAAAACTACAATGTTTGCAGTGTCTGTAGATCAAAAGTCCCAGTAAGTCAAATAATACAGTCCGAGCTAAAAACGTGGTCTATGTTAAAGCAATTGACTTATTGGGAATTTGACCTAATGCAACAGCAGTTTTAATATAACGAAATACGGTAAAATACAAGTTCAGTTTCGCTGAGTCAACAGTGCCGGAAGATCAAAAGCAATAAAAGTGAACGTCGATTCAGTGTAAAGTAGACCTCCCGCAACGCTTACTACACCAACAAAACTCGCTTTTAGTTACTTCGTGTTTTGTCATAATTAGAATAGAGCTAAAATTATCATATTTGGTACATAGCTTATCTATTAATGCTTCTTGCCAACTGTTTGGTCAACACTGTAAATAGGTATAGTTTATGTAATGAAAAGCCTTTCGTCAAAATTTGTGGCATGAAATACACGCAAGGACGATCTGAAAATTTCTGGTTATTATATACGTTTGTAAAAGGAGACCCATTTAATTTTAGAACTATTTTATGAGTTATAATGTAGTCTACACATTAACTGTGTAAATGTATTACGCCTCGGAAGGGTTGAAACCTGTCCAAACTATCATATATATTATTAAAACGTAAATGGGGGTTTTTCACATTCTGAATCAACCAGTCGACGGATTTTCATTATTTTTGTGTTGAAAGAAAGATAATTTTGAGAACTAGGGAATGTAAAAAGCCATAATTATAATTAAGGGTCCCAGTTTTTTAGAAATTAAGTTTTAATTTTTTTTAAGTCTAGCAGCCGACGCTAACCTTAAGCTAGCTTTTAGTACAATATAATTTGCTTAACATAACAGCTGTATACATTCAGCATTTGTGACACAAATTCAGCATTTGGAAACAAATTTAAAGACATATTTAGAGTTGACCTATTTATTCTATGTGTAATGCTGACCATTTATACATTCAATTCTTAGGTATGAGGATGGCAGATTAATTAAATATGCATAGTAAAATTGTAGTATGTTCAAGTGATTTTTTAAAGGAATCTTTGTTCTCATTGATTTGTTTTAGTCCCATATAATTTGTTTTAACTAACAGCTGGTTGAATGTAATATTGTTCTATATAACTATTAGGTTTTTGGCGAATTTCCCATATAGGGAATAAGCTATTACCGTAGTACTTATGGTAACACCTGGACCCGGGACCGATTAAATTTTTCGTTTTGAGGTCCCTAGAGGCCAAAAACACCATCCGTTCAAATTCATATATACAGGGTGATCAACTGTGATCATATATGTATATGTATATGTATATATGTATATATATCAGGGTGATCATATATGTAGACACATTTCCATTTAAGTTGATAAGGTATTTTATTTTTTTTATCTCTTTGTGCCATTAGTTATAATATTATTTTGTAAGTATTTTTAAGACAAGGATTAGGCTAAGTAATTTATTCTGTAAAATACCATGAATTGTACTTTTTTTTAGTTGGGAAATAAACATCATTTCATTTTTTTTTTTTTCATTTCATTTCATAACTCAAGGAGGCCACCATTGGGAAATCGGAAACGGTAAGAATTAGAGAAAACTTTAAATGGGGGACATTCCTTTATTTTTTGTGGCAGTTAAAAATGTGATTTTAGTTTTTTGATCATGTTTTTGGATAGAATATGCAATTTAAAAACTTTTTTAGCCTTGACATTATTTTGATAAACCCACTCGTTTAGGAGTACAGCCTATGGAAAAATGACTTCCGGTGTACATTTTACATCATGTAGCTCCTAAACGAGTAAGTTTAGAGCAAAATTGTAAAAAGTAAATTAGTCTTAGAATTGCATCTACATTCCTTAAAGACTAAAAAACAACAAGTTTTCCACTTTTCAAGTTTGCCGCCATTTTTTTAATAATATAATTCATATTTTTAATGAATTTTATGGTCTTTTTGGAATGTGGATGCAATTGTAAGACTTTTTTACTCTTCGCATTTTAGCTATAAACTTACTTGTTTAGGAGCTACATGATGTAAAATGTACACCGGAAGTCATTTTTCCATATGCTGTAACTCCTAAACGAGTGGGTTTATCGAAAAAATGTCACGGATAAAAAAGTTTTTAAATTGCCTATTCTATCTGAAAATGATATAAGCAACGGTTCTTGCAATTTATTGTTTATTGTTTTTTAGAGTTGTTTCGGACTTACTCACACTCGTATAAGGTTGTCCACGTTTGTCAATGATAATGTAGACATGTTACACCCGTTGTCACGAATATGTTTACAAGTTTTCCGACTGTTTTTGAATAGTGATACATTTTTTCACATACTTAAGAACCACCTGATTTCGTGCATTACATGTTCGTCTCAATTTTATTTGCTTTAGTAGGCATTCTTTTGGTTGATGAGGACTTCAATAGGTCCTTTGCTCATGAAATATATTACTTAATTAATTTTTATTGTTTGGTAAAATGGATTAAATTATCCAGCAAACCCAAATAGAAATAGTAAATATAGTATTTCAAAAAAATCAGTAACATGTTAATAATGTAGCCTACATTATTTCCTTGAATTGCATAACAGCAATTAATTGAGCTGATCCTTATATAAATAAATCAATATGTTCTTCATAGGCATAACATGGGTTCTTTAAGAGCCACTGGGTCTGAGCCCAAGGGATTTTAAAACGTAATGTTGGTTTGCAAATGTACGTGACACGCTCTTTCTAATGAGACATGAATGGTCAAAATCGCCTAAGAAATGCGGAAGAGTTCAACGGAAAAATTTCGTGTTGGCGTTACAGTATGGTTGAAAAGTCCTGGATTGGCTATATTTTTTTAACAATATAGATAAAGTAGTGAGACTTGGTATATCAATAATAGCCATAAATATCTACTGTCTTAAGCTATTATCACTTTTTTATCCCTTAAGGGGGGTGGACCACAAAGACTAAGACAAAATTATTATATAATTTTAATACTATTTTACCTGTTTTTGAAATGGCGACCATACAAATGTATGCATTTTAAGCCAAGTATGAATGGAGATGAGTGTGATGAGTGGGCTGTAGGCGGAAAAATACGAACAAACTAAACTATTTATTAACAAAACTTTTTTTGTGTTGAAATTTAAAGACAATGGTCTCAAACTCTACACCGAATAATGCTAATTCATAATGGTTATTATATCTATGATCGATAATGTAGCCATGTTGCTTTGAAATGGTGACCATACAAATGGATGCATTTTAAGCCAAGTATGAATGGAGATGAGTGTGGGGTGAGTGGAGCGATGTTGTTGTCCTGTTTGTGACTAAGGCCGACATAATCCTTAGACACAGCTGTTAATTAATAGTGCATACAGTCAATTAATAGCAGCAGAGGTCAAGTTTGGTATCAAATTAAAGGTTTTATTCATAAAAATACATTGCCGCAAACCCAAACTCAAACGATGATGATGATAAGTCGCTAAAACGTATAGTTTGAAATTTAACAGCTGAAAATAAGTGAAATAGAAAAGGTTTTGGTTAAATCCATCAAATTGTAATTGGACACTAGTAAATACTAGTGAACTTGTTGCTACCTATCCCCCCTTCGGTTTCATGTATTCCTCTCAATCAGTTCAAACCTAGGAGGATTAAACATTAATGTTAATTAATGTTAAATCCTCCTAGATTCAAACCTGAAACACCCAGATCGAAACTCGCCTGTCGTTATTTTACCATCGCCTTTTTTTAAAATATATTTTTCAAAAAAGAAATATTATATTGATTTACTTTGGATTTTAAAAATGTTAACGTTTTATTTTGTTAAAGATTTATGGTGATAAGTAAATATTGTGGTGTAGTAAAGTATATTATATTGTAGTTAAGTGTTAAATTTTGAAATTTTAGGGTGAATCGAGATGAATCTTTGTTTATAACATGCGTCTCTCCTACCTTAACATACATACCAAGTTTCATAAACATCGGTTGGAAAAGTGCAAAGATAAATATTTGTATGTAAAAAATACAAAATGGTGGATATCTGGTTAACGAAATGATATTGGAAAAAAATGTTAGCCTTGATTTTCTGTTTACTTTGACCCAAGGAATTACTAGGTAAAGTATCTCCCCGCTTATTTTAACACCCTGTTTATGATGTATTCTTATAAGTGAAAAATGTAAGCTGGTAATAAAGAAAGATGTTTTATAAATAATATGAATGTACTGGTGATCTGTATATTCATCTTTTTCTTGTCCTTAACTATAAATTAAAAGTCCACTCAGCAGTCGCATCGTACGATGTAGTTCTTTCCATGCGTTGCGAAATGCTAAATTTGCCGTCCTCTTCAACCCAAGTTATCTACTGAACCACTGATTGTAAAAAATTCAAAGAAATATATTTTACGCATCACACTTTTGGCTACAACTTTGCCACAAACAAAACCTCTCTAACCCAAAAACAAACAAAAAATCTCGCATGCTAACTTTTTCATGTTAGAAACCACGATTTAAAACTATTTCACCGTACAAATCAATTTTTATTAATTAGATCGGTAAATAGTTTAAAGTTCCAACAAAATAGTCATCGAGTAGGACTAACCAAGAAGCTCTGTGCCAAATTTCAAAATTTTAGCACAGCTTTAAGTACACCAAAACACGAAATTATTGAAGTCATGCGTCGAGAGGACTATCGTTGTTTTTAACAGATTATACTTTTGACCTTCCGGCACTGTTGACTCAGCGAAACTGAACTTATATTTTATCTTATTTCGTTATATTAAAACTGCTGTTGCATTAGGTCAAATTCCCAATAAGTCAATTGCATTAACATAGACTACGTTTTGTAGCCCGGACTGTACTATTTGACTTACTGGGATTTTTGATCTACAGACACTGCAAACATTGTAGTTTTTGACCTAGCGGCACAGGTATAAATTATTTGACCTTCTGGGACTGTTGACTTTCTGCAACGCGTCCTCTGTACCTCAGTATACACACACGCTCACACATACATCACTTGGAAAACAACTTTTTAGGGTTCTGGGTCATGATCGAAAATGTTGTAAAAAATAAACTAAAAAATAACCATACTATAGGGCAAAAAATTAAAAGCTTGTCGTTAAATGATGTTAACTACGTTGTATCTCGAACTATAGTGCATATAAGAGGTTCAGCTACATATTTACCTTCTGAATACTTAACAATGTTATAATTCTTACCTTTTCTTAGCTTGAATCCGAGCCCATTCGAGCGCAACACCATATGGACGGTGTCAATTGGATCAACTTTTGCTTGGTTGTCAAGCATCGGGATCCATCCAGGAGCCTTACAGAGGTTTATTGCTGTTGCAACCCTCAAAGAGGCAAAGAGGTAAGGTTTAGCGAATGAACTTTGTGGTTGACGAAATGTGCTTTGATTAAAAGGTTGTATGCACATACATGGTTTATAGGGTAGCTAAGTGTGCAAAGAACTCGACAGAAATCAAATTGTATGTCGGATGTAATAAAGCTTTTTTTGGTATTGAATATAATAGGTAGTGTTAAGTATAAGAGATAAACAATACCCTTAATTGGAATTCTATTGATCTTCTTTTGTGTCTTTAAAGCAGTGTGAGTTGTGACACAAAAAGACAAAGATGTTCCCTTTGCTTTACATATTTTAAAACTTTGGTGTAAATACCTGCTTCTTGTAATCCAAATTGTTGCTGTTATGACGCAACTAGTTTCGACTTATCACGAAGTCATCTTCGGGCGTCCAGGGGATGTCAATTCACTTCATCAGAAGGTCGTCAATACACACATACGTTTATACACGAACATGGTCACGGTTACGAACAAAAACACAGACACGAACATTGAAACGAAAAAAGTACGATTTAACGAGTACTACCCCGAAGTACGGACGCCCGAAGATGACTTCGTGATAAGTCGAAACTAGTTGCGTCATAACAGCAACAATTTGGATTACAAGAAGCAGGTATTTACATCAATTTTTATATTCAACGTAATCCGGAGGCTAACATCAACAATGAAATTTAAAACTTTGTCCAAGATAGTATCGACCCAAACGGTTTTATGGGTTTATCGGGAGTGTGTTTTGATAATCTTTATAAAAGAATGTATAAATATATATAAATCGACATTTAACTAGGCATAGACATTTTAAAGTAGGGATATAATTGTAATTTCAAAAGTAGTGTACTCGTTTGGAGAATGTTGGTGTCAAATACATCATTACTACAATGATTTCAGTTGCCAATTGGTTTTGAGTTGGTATAATGACTTAGTTGTAGAGTAATATTAACTTTAAGTTCTGAAACCGTGAAAGCAGCAAGTAATTTAAACATGTGCTTAACCCCTGTCACAAAAAAATTGCTCAAGTTAGCAATAATAAACAGCATTCTAGACTAATTATGCACTGTGTCATAGAATAAAATATAGCACAACAATTATTTTTTATTACAACCTTATTTTTAAAAAGTTTATTGTGCTCTCATTTTTGAAAAGGAGCCATAAAATTGTTCATCTTTAAAAAAACACTTTTACCTAAAGGATGAGTATTTATTGACGAAAAATCTCTGTAGAAATTCTCTTAAAATGGAATTTACGAAAAAATGACATATCTAGGTTTTTACTACTTTATAATAACAACCAAAACTACTAAATTACAGATATTTTCATATGAAGTTATTATCATCTTCTACTTTATATAGATGGAATGTCTACTTAATTATCCGGCAGTCAATGGTCTAACTAAATCAATGACTTGAAGGGTCGCTAAAAACTATTATTGGAGTAAATTTAGAGTTTCTACAAAGTAATCGCTGGGTCCGCTGTCATAACAATGTAAGAAAGGTTGAGATAAGAGCGTTACAAAGGACCAAGTAAAGGCCAAGTTTGATAACTGAGCCCCAAGTGATGGTTAAACAAATTACGAAACCAACGATAAAAAAAATCAAAAAACAAGTAAAACTAATTTTAGGAATGTTGTCTTTGCAGAGTCATAGCTTGGGGCTGTGTGGGATTTGCTGTGGTACAAGCGCTAACCATCCCAATGGGACTTCTACTGTACGCGTACTACCACGACTGTGATCCCTTAGCTACAAAGGTACTAAGGAACTTGCCCTTCGTAAAATACCTATAAGGATAAGAGATTTTATATTTTTGAAATACACAAAAAACCGTTGAAGTGTCATAGTTTTGACGTGATCAAACCAAAGAAATCAAACAATCAAAATTTAAAAACTCAAAATAGACCAAACCTGCAAATGTTTCAAACCGTTTAGGAGATTAAAATCTCGAAATATATAAACACCAAAAGTTATCAAGCCCTGAAAAATATCTAACCTTCTTTTAGAGATAGAAAATTCATTCCGTCTGAAATGATAGATATGTGGTCAAAACAATTTGTCAGAAATATACAAGGGCATCCTCTTTTGGGCTTTATTTCTATGTTAAGCTGTTAAACTATACTTACTTAGCCTAGTAAAATCCTACGTGAAATACGGTACTTTAGTAGATAATATTATTGAATTCGGAATTAATAAAATTACAATTAATTTATGTAATTTTATTGATTTTCTAGAACAACTAGTAAATGGAGATAACAGGTGGAAAGATATAGAGTTTATTGGTAGTGTTTAGCTACAAATAGCATAAAAATATGAGTACATATAAAAGAAAAATCTTGAAATCATGTTAATTTATTAAATAATGTTCGTCCATACATACCTCGTCAGACAATCCTTGACAGGTAGTCTCGTTTGGAAGAACTTTGCTAAATATGTTTCAGATTGTTTTCATAACTACGCCTTCGTCAGGCTAACAAAAATAACTTACTTCTTGAGGTGTCATTAGAATAAGCTGTGAACATTTTACACATAACACAAATCCGATTAATATGCCTATAAATTACACGCCTGTACAGTGACACGGGCAGGACTGGAAGCAGACATAGCAAGCTTCTCCATACAATTCTACTTGTTAGAATTGCTTAACGAGGAATATCTAGTAATTATTTGTCATGAAGTTCAATCTTTGGGGTACCAAAATGAACAATGTTTTTTTAGATGATACGGAAGACGAGCCAGATCCTGCCGTACTATGTGATGGACGTAGCCAGGGACTTCCCGGGATTAACAGGACTTTTCATATCTGGAGTGCTCAGTGCTGCTCTCAGGTCAGTCTACATTACTTATCTTGATAGTCTGTGTGATAAAACCTATCTCCTGGCCCTTCATCTACCTGGGACTTGCTAGGACCTTAAACTCAGGAGAATCAGGAGACAGGTTCCATCATACAGACTATAGCTGTAATAGGCCTACTGTTCGTTTGGGAGAAGATGTCTAAAGGTCTCAACACAGTAGCTGGCACACTGTAGGAAGACTTTGTCCAGTTTGTGTTGAAGGGAGAGAAGTTGTCTGAGACCTCTAATCCCCTCATACTCAAGGTCATTGTGCTGGTGCTGGGTCTGGTCTGTGATCAGCCATACTACAAGTGTTGTTTTGTCCTCAGCACGATGTCCGCTGGTCTCAACACAGTAGCTGGTACACTGTACGAGGACTTTGTCCAGTTTGTGTTGAAGGGAGAGAAGTTGTCTGAGGCCTCTCAGTCCCTCATACTCAAGGTCATTGTGCTGGTGCTGGGTCTGGTCTGTAATCAGCCAAACTACAAGTGCTGTTTGTTTTGTCCTCAGCACGATGTCCGCTGGTCTCAACACAGTAGCTGGTACACTGTACGAGGACTTTGTCCAGTTTGTGTTGAAGGGAGAGAAGTTGTCTGAGGCCTCTCAGTCCCTCATACTCAAGGTCATTGTGCTGGTGCTGGGTCTGGTCTGTAATCAGCCAAACTACAAGTGCTGTTTGTTTTGTCCTCAGCACGATGTCCGCTGGTCTCAACACAGTAGCTGGTACACTGTACGAGGACTTTGTCCAGTTTGTGTTGAAGGGAGAGAAGTTGTCTGAGGCCTCTCAGTCCCTCATACTCAAGGTCATTGTTCTGGTACTGGCCTGGTCTGTAATCAGCCAAACTACAAGTGTTGTTTTGTCCTCAGCACGATGTCCGCTGGTCTCAACACAGTAGCTGGTACGCTGTACGAGGACTTTGTCCAGTTTGTGTTGAAGGGAGAGAAGTTGTCTGAGGCCTCTCAGTCCCTCATACTCAAGGTCATTGTTCTGGTACTGGCCTGGTCTGTAATCAGCCAAACTACAAGTGTTGTTTTGTCCTCAGCACGATGTCCGCTGGTCTCAACACAGTAGCTGGTACGCTGTACGAGGACTTTGTCCAGTTTGTGTTGAAGGGAGAGAAGTTGTCTGAGGCCTCTCAGTCCCTCATACTCAAGGTCATTGTTCTGGTACTGGCCTGGTCTGTAATCAGCCAAACTACAAGTGTTGTTTTGTCCTCAGCACGATGTCCGCTGGTCTCAACACAGTAGCTGGTACGCTGTACGAGGACTTTGTCCAGTTTGTGTTGAAGGGAGAGAAGTTGTCTGAGGCCTCTCAGTCCCTCATACTCAAGGTCATTGTGCTGGTGCTGGGTCTGCTCTGTGTTGCGCTGGTCTTCATTGTGGAGAAACTCGGAGCTCTCTTTCAGGTATCTGTGATGACGATGCATATACTGATAAGCATGAAATTGAGTAGCACAGATGTAACATTAAATATTTGGCACACTTAAGGTGACTAGCACTAGTGCTGGTGTATCGGTCAAAGTCCAACACCGCCCCCTCGCCCTCGTGTACAGCAGCGCTCACGGTGGAGGAAGATCCATCAAACCGACAAATAATTTATTTCCTTAGCTTGACAACTACTCTCATAATGTGTAAGCGGATGAGAGTGACTGATATTTTGTGAGTAAAACAAAAATTCTTAAAATCCATCTTTTGTATTGTTAATTTTATAGAATTGAGAGCCGTTTTTGTAAAAATCCAATAATTTTAATTTTATGAGAAAATTATTATATAAAAAAGTTTAAAAATGAAAACACCCATAGACATACCATAGATTAGTTCCCACATGCTCCCCACATGAATCTTTTTAAAACCGGACTATAGGATTTGACTATTGTTACAACTTACGGATCCAATAGTAAATGCTACTGGTGTAGTATATAGCTCTGGAAAAATTCAGACACACACATAAATTACTTTTATAACAGTTTTTTTTTATTTAAGGGGGCCCAAAATTGTAACTAGAAATTGTTAACGTAAAACAATACTTTCTATATATGATATATGGTCAGGGGGTGAAAATAAAAATCGAAGAAAAGTTTATACTGTAAAATTTCTTAATATTTTAAGTAATCTATCAGGAAAAGATTTACTCTTACCCATGTTGATGTAATTAATCTCAATAAATCCCGCCAATTGCCTCTTTCCAATTTCCTGCCAAGCATTTAACCAATATCCAGCCATCAATCACCTTAAGATTTGAAATCCTTAACAATTTCTCATATTTTAATTTTCTTACCATAGTTAGCCTATTTATTATTTATTTCATACAGTAGGTGAGAGAAAAACTGGATAAGTATTTTTAGATCCAGTACAACTCATAAACTTTGGACGTAGCAGTTCTTAGAAAAATCTTTAGAGTACTTACCGCAGATTACGTAATGGTAATACTTTCACAATCTAGTATCATTGTAGATTTCTTTTTTTACTAAGATTATTTAAAACACTTTTAAGATTAGTTTTTGTAACAATAATAATTGTTGCGATTTAAATCGACTGTTGATGATTTATTATTCAGCTTTGTTAGTTTTAATATGCCAAATGTTTTTTTTTTAAATTTCAGATGGCGATCAGTTTACAAGGCATTTCAACTGGAGCACTTCTTGGACTTTTCAGTTTAGGCCTTCTTTTCCCACGTGCAAATGCCAAGGTAAAAGTCTTCAACTGTTATAAGACGTGTAAGTTATTTACTGAAACTAAATTAACAAAATGTCATTGATAAACACTCTGCGTATGTCAATTGGTTCGTGGAAAATTAAGGGGTTTCGTTTCAGTAGCAATCTTCGTGGAGGCTGTAACTAGGAAGAAAAGGAATTGTGGGACTTATGCTTTGAAACTTATATTGTAGGCTGTCGATGGAAAATATATTTTGCTTTGAACAAGTTCTTCCCTTTCACACCCTTTTAGGAACAGATTGGCTTAAATCCTTATAGTATGAATTATAGCATATGTCCCGTGACCCTTTGTTTACCTGGGGTTGGCCTTAAAACATTGATCGGTCCCCAGCTGTACGTGAGATAAGACAGATTACATCATCCAGAGTATAGATAACATGGAATTCATGAGTCAATAACAATGTATTTGTTGAACTACAGGGAGCAATAGCTGGTGCATTAAGTAGCCTACTAGGGATGGCTGTCATCATCGTCGGAGCTCAATGGTACATAATGGAGAAGCAACTCCGGTTCCCCGGTAAGGTGACCAGTGTGGATGGATGTCCGGAAGATCTCATCGCTTCTTTGGGGTTCAAGTAAGTGTGTCAACGTTTTGCGCAGAAAAAGTGGGTTGTAGTATTAGTAAGTTTGTGCTATGCACTTTCTACAAACAATAATACAATTTCAAATATGGTATATACATTCAATGCTCTAATTATGTCCATGGTGAAAGGGACTTCACATAATGTCACATTCACACAAAATCTAAACATAATGGCAATTTTTTAACTATTAATACAATAGACATTCCATCCCCATGTTAAATTTGTCCCAAACTTTTAAATGAAAAATTTCGTAGTTAATGTGAGTCACCAATAGATTGTGCTGATGGAGTTCTGTCAAATATGTGCACTTTTTATAAAGTCAAATCGATGGAACGAAAATAGAATTTTAGGCTCTAGCGCTTTCCGAAACAATGTTTTTTTTTTATAAATGGATGACAGCTAGTCCATATTGATGGGACATCTGCTTCAATATCTAATAGTGAATGCTAAAACTAAACCTAATCTAGACTACCTAAGTTTGGATATACAGGTTTATACATCCTACGGTGCTATGGTAGCCAGGACTTTAACTTTGACTATAAAACTATAAACCAATCTCAGGGTAAAATAAGATTTTGAATATATTTTACCAACCACACTTTTTATAATGCAAAATACTAAAATACAGTTTCTTTTTCAGTGCGTCAGCCAATGCACAGACATGGACCGGATTGGGAACTCCGGTAGAGGCAGATGATTCAGTACCCATCATCTTCAAGATCTCCTACATGTACTATTGCATGGTTGGGACGCTGATAGTGATCGTAGTCGGTCTCTTGGTCTCTTATCTGACCACTCCCCAGGATCTCTTATCTCTGGACCCTAATCTCTTCTCGCCCCCTGTACGAAGATTCCTCCCCCAGAGAGGAAGGGACCAACCAGCCAAAGAGGAGTATACTCTTGTCAACACAGATCCAGCGGGAAAAGATGGCCAATATGTACAGGATAGTCAAACCACTGGAGCATAAAACAAATTATACTTTATAGATTGTTGTTACATTATTTGTAATATCCCTACTCAGTAGGCCTAGGGGGAGCGAGCTGGGGGTGCAAGAGTGGTTAGAGCTAGAGTGAGACTCCGGTTCCTGGGGTCCCGGGTTCAAATCCCGCCAAATCACAAATCGATTTGATCTAAGTGATAATGCCGTAACCCCTTGGTCTACCCTGAAGTAATGTGAAAAACAATTCCGGACTCGTGCCTAGCGTCCTAGGACAAAAAAAAACTCAGTAGGCCTAAGTGGAGTATAAATTAGTAGTTACTGTGAAGAAGGTGAACCATAACTGTATTACTAGGGTATCAGAGCATGCATTAAGGAAGCACTATTGTTATAACATAAATGATTTGAAAGTGAGTTTAAATAAAGAACTCAGGTATGAAACATAAGAATACAGATATGCTGTCAAAAATTTTCGCCAATGATTTTAACTAGAATTTTTCAGCTTTAATACAAAACCAGGCAAAAATTGAATTAAGATTTTTTAAGATTTTAAGAAAAACAAACCCTTACTGATTGTTTTGTATGAATATTACTTATACTATTGACTTTTGGATACTCTTTTCCAGGTTTTTATGCCAATTACATTTTATAGTAGTAGTATTTAGGATAATCCACAAATTAATGCGTTTAGGGAAACTTTTCCAAACCTATATTTTTGTGGCAATAACGAGAATCGAACCCGTCTGAACCGCATCAAAGCCTGAGACGCCACCCACTAGCCTAGCAACACACATTGCATACAAATAAGCATGAGATCAATGGACCAGCTCTAGTCAATTGTCTTATTCAAATAGAAACTAATTGAATTATTCACCCAAAAAGTGTGATATTGTCTTAGTATAAATTATATTTTCTCTATAAGCTTTTGTTACCATAAAAGTTGATGTGACATAACAGATTATATGACTTATAAAAAGGTTCATGTTGTGTGTTGTTTTTTCTTATCAAAAGGCTTTCTTTCTTAAGAGTTTGAGCATTCTGCTGAAATTAATTATTGACAACAGCGTGCTATGTCATAGACTTAATACAACTACGTTAATTAATATTATGAAAATAGCAAAAGCTTTAACATTGGAATGGAATTTTTATTTCTACATTTTATTGTTTTGTACTATGCTACGGCACTTCTCCATGTCGCCCACGGTTCTATGACTACAAATAATGGCAGATGTAGTGTAGGCTTTCCAACGAGCCTAACCCCACCACCCTTAGACGACCTGTCGCTGTACTGTGTGCTGAAAAAAACCGATTACTTCGCCGCACTCTGTATTTACAGTATAAAACCTAAAACACTATAGTGGCTCATATGTGAGCAAATGGTGATCTCTTATGACAGAGAAATACCGTTTATGAAATTAATTTAAAGTTTCAATCTTAATTGTGTGCTAAAAATAAATGTTTTTTTCTAGTGAGATTTTAACTGTGATACAATATACGATTTTATAAAATTAAATGAAGGTCATGAATCATCAATTACAGTTTACAGCTCCTATTGCTTCATACTCAATTTACCTGGCTGCCTTTGAAGGCGGAGTACTTGTTAGATAGTAAATGGTTCCCAAATGACGCCGGACAATCAACTCCGAGTGGTCAAACGGTCAGACAGATTATCAACATCAAAGAGATGACGACATCGACAGTCCTATTGGCATTGCGATTGGTGATTGCCGATTACCACTGGGGCCGTTGTTACAATTAATTGCTTTGTACAGGTTTAACTGCCAGTGTTACCAAAAAACAATGCCATACTGCTGGTATGTTTTATAACTTATGTTTTTCAGTAATTTATATGTAATACACTTCAATATTGACGGTCACTTACTGTTATGTACTTATTCTTATTCTTAGACAATTTCTTCAAAAATAGAAATTACATTTATGTCGATAAAGACAGTTAATTTTTTGATATTTCAATTTAGATGGTATAATAATAACTGTTGGGTAGTTTAAGGTGATTTAAACAATACAACTTACACAAACTGTTTATGTTATGTTAGCTTAGATTTTCTTCCGGAAAGCTCAAATGAGTTCTTTTAAAGAAATCCAGTTACATAGTTCTTATTGGATGTAATTTAAGATATAATTATGAAAATTCTGTATTACACAGTTCATCAAGCTAATGTACAAAGAGTAATTTCTTTTGATAAAATAAAATTATTTTGCAAGAGCAAATCATGTAAATGGTTTATATTCTATAGGCGTTCTTTGTTAACGTTCCTTCAAAGCTTCTTGACGTTAAACAGCTCACCCAAAAAGGATTACTGCGAAAGAGGTAAAAAGTAACATTTATATTAAACATAAAAACTCACTTTCCATTAAAATTTTGATAACCTTTGTGCAATTGTAATGTGAAAAGGCTCATCATGTTGGTTAAACAATTTAATATATGAGACGATTAGTCCATAAACACATCGTATAAAATATTGTTTGTTAATTTATTAGTTCATTGTCGTTCAACTCAGTATTTGCTTCTTTCTTCCTAGGGATTAAAAATGCTACTTTAGACCGAATGTATAAAAAACGGCTGACATGGGTGATTACATTTATATTTACACAATCAATTTATTTAATTTTTTAACAAACATTATTTATTTTCCAAACGATTTTACGCAGCTTTTAACAAGTTTAACATAAAATAGTATCTTTATAATTCCTCAGTTTTTTTAATTAAACGAAAGGATCAACTTAAAAGCTAAAAACTTGATCTTAAATGCCTTTTTATTTCTGGAATTCAGTAGCAAAATCTGACATTTGGTTAAACTTGCCCGAACTTTGTTCTATTTTGTTCTTTTTGTTAAATTGATAATGTATTGGGAAATTAAAAAAAAAATCACTTGCACCACATGTCATGGCCTTGCGCACAATAGTTTAAAATAAAAAGCTCTAGGAAAAATACATAAAGAATATCATCTGATAATAAAATGCATTTTCGTAAAATCACAGACATATTTTTGTGGTAAAATCCATTCATATTATAAGTACGAAAGTTAGATAACATATGAGACTACTGTAGTTAAGCTATGGGAGAAGTTCTTCATTTTAAAATATCAACGTCCTTTCACCAGGATCTACAGACTAACCATTCTTAAAAAACCCTACATAACGTTTTTGACCAGAATTACTATTCCCGCTGTTCTTTCGCTTTTATCTTTGACTAACTACGAGAAACATTTAAGCAGCTTAACGTTGAATCAAAATATGTATTTAGGCTGTTTTGTAGAACAAAACAGCAGTAGTTACAATCGGTAACATGAATTTTTTCAACGTACTTAAAATTTCATTCGTTATTTCCAAATATCCAAATATACCATATTGTCTACAGATAAAAAAAGCAAAACAGTACTGGGACGTTAAAAAAATATACTCATGACACGTTCGCAGGATTTATTTCCACACATCTCACTCTGGCTTATCGATATCACATTTCGGAGGTATTTCATCGTCAACTACTTTTGTGTTGACTTCAGGGTAGTTGATGAGTGTGAACTCCTCAGCTACCGTGACTGTTGGTGGTGGAAGCCACCTGTGTACCAGAGGCGAGAACAGTCGCCTGTCATGGGTGAACTTGGGTGTCTGGGTGTCCTGGGTGGAGGGTGACTCGGGTGTTTGGGTGAGCAAGGATACCACAAGGCCGACAGATACACCCACCACTGTTCCGATGAGATTGTAGTACATATGGGAGACTTGGTAGATCAGCGGAACTCCTTCTGCGACTACAGGGCATCCAGGTCCTTGATACGTTTCAAGTCTTGAAAGTACTCTGGACATGTATAATAATGTTATTGATTTTAATTGTTGTACTAAATACGAATAGCTTCTGGGAATTCAAAAGAGGAATTCTCTGGATCATTCTTCTTACTGAGAATGGATTTCAGGCAGTAAGTTACTGACTTACAAGCATTACTTAGGAGATACTAACTTGACTCCACAATTTGAAGCACTGCTAAGTGCTAACAGATATTACAGCTGGATTGGGCTTTGTAACTAATTGAATGATATTTCTGCATACTGTTTACCCGTTGTAATGAGAACTTTAAAAGCTGCAAGAGCTATTTGTTATTTGATAAATTCTTCCACTACAACAAAAATTGGGAAGGTGCCACCACGTTTCCAGAGCTAAAATCTAATAATTACTTGTTTTTTACTAAAAATAATTGAAAATGTATTCAACTATCCCTAAAACAACACAAAACTTACATCACAAAAAATTAACTTCAAACAATGCTACTTAAAAATAAACATGTTCACAAGTGGTTTATATACATCTCGTTCACATTAGGTTCCTTCATATTACAACAATACATGAATACGTGAAATCCAAGGTGATGAATATAATGTTAAGCAAAAACGTTATAGAAGCACAACTTCCTAAAACAAGCACAAACATGCAAAACAAAATTGGACAATTCTATATTCAACATATCTTTGTACCTTATCTTCCCTATATTAGAAAGGTGACATTCCGTTATGAAAAAGTCGTTTTTACTATAAAAGTAAATGGAAAATAGCAAAAGAACATGATTTTGAGTAACTTACTCAGGAGACGTGAAGTTATCGGGACACATATCTATGCGAGTAATTTTCGCTCGATGCTTCAGTTGGCCTGTGGTTATATAAAAGTAGGCATTTCCTATTATCCACGTCATCGTTACCAGACTTGTTATAGCACCTACCATCGCACCCTACAAGTTCAATAATTATATTCCATAATAAAAGTCTACAAAATATTTATACAATGCTATTATGTTTCTAAATAGTGACCATCATAGTTAGTGCCATTGTCAGCCACATTAACTTTGACTTTAGCCCCAGAAGTACAGCAATTGTAGGTTGAAACTAAAATTGCTGACATAGGTTCATAATAAAATTATGATTTCCAAAGTTAATCTTAGTGTACTATGTACTATGTTTCGACGTTATAATGCTTGTTTGCATACGAAAAAAAAGAATTATTCTACTTAAAATTAAATAATGATAATTATAATTATAAAATAATATTATGTTGCCTAAATTAATTAATCCTTAACGCGTAGGATCAGGATATTCAAAATAAGATATTTAACTAACTATAGCATACATGAGAAACGTGTGTAATAATAACACATTACCTTAGAATTTGCTTTTGGAACGAAGATTCCTAGAAAGAATAAAGTAAACAATGCTCCTCCTGTAATGCCACCAAGACTCATTGACAGCTAAAAATATAAATTAGTGCAATAAGTATTACAATATTAACCCACTCGATCTCGAAATTTTATCTACAATGAGCTTGTCATACTTTAATGAAACAATAAAAGAGAAACTGTGCAAGTAACAAGTTCTTTAATTTAAGTTTGGTAACGCCAAAGGCCAAATCTTATGACAAATTTAAACTATTTGATTTCTTTATCTTCTTCATTCTTATTCTCTTATCACTGTGTTAATATTAAAATTATACAGCTACAATGAGTCTACAAAATATAATCTGAAACAGCTAATTTCAATAACAGTTATATGGTTTACTAATTTAGGAGTAACAATCACCACAACTCATTGCCTTAGTTCTAGATGAATACAAAATAACGACTCCGTTATACTTGACCTTTGTGAACATAGCGCACTTAGTTTACTCTGGGCCCGTTTTTATGTAACAAAATATTATTAAAAAATCCAAACAAATAATTTATCATAGATATTTCGTTAAATAATAAAATGATGACATGTTGAACAATAAGTTATCTTGTAACATGTTATACAAACCTTCTACACTTAAACGAACGTTAAGAACAGATCCCTTCTTGCTAATTTTAAAAAATAGCTTAAAAATAAAAATTCATCCAGCAAAACCAAAATTTGATAAAAATTTTGGTGAACTTAAGTTAGAAAACAACTTGACAATGTATCTAAGAAGGTTAAAATCTTTTTAAATACCAGAGAAATTAAACTTTTGCATGCAGCAAAATGTTTTTTTACCTGAAAGATACTGTCTGTCTTTTCGACTAGAAGGACCAAAGAGGTACATAGAACACCGAGCAGGAGAGAAATACATTTCATCATGTAAGACTGTGTGACATCTGATAGCTTGTGGCCTCTGAAGCAAAACTCCACCAAGTCTTCGTAAATGGAGCCAGCCATGGTGTTGAGAGAAGAAGACATTGAACTGTGTTATCATTAATTACAATTTACTAATTTTAGCTATTAACTTACTGGTCAATGTGATATGGTTTATTCTAACTTTAAAGTTGTTGATATTGATAATACTTCACATTTTACACTATTTTATTCACAATTGCATTTTATCCATGTAAGAAAATATTCAATTGATTCCAACATAGATTCAACATGGTTAACATGGAATACGAATTTAACAAATTTACATGGTAAATCCTTGGTAAGTTTTGATGAACAACGATCTTAAGTCATCAATGTGTTTACGATGACAGTCGAACAAATCTAAAGAAATTAGGAGGTTTTGAACTTGTCCATTTCAAAACAGTTTTAGAATATGAGTTAAATTAAACTATAAAAATTGTTAAAGGGAAAAAATACTCTTTGAGTTTACACATGCTATCTTAAAATTAAATTGGAAATTCAAGGTTAGGAAAATGTATGAAGGTAACTGCATCTTTGAAGTTTTTATCTGCGTCCACTACACACTACACACTTAATGTTAATCATTGATGTCATGAGGTTCAGTTACAAAACTTCGAAAATGTCAAATTAATTTTGGAATCTACCTGGAATTTTTTTACGTTTATTTATACTACTAATGAAGTTCATATATTATTTCTTTCTGTTTCATCATTAGTCCTATTTGTAAATCTTACTGGATATTTTTGTACCTCAATGCAGCACTGAGAACACCAGAGACAAACAGTCCTGCAAGCCCAGGATATCCTTTGGTCACCTCCATCACAAACAATGGGACCAGCTGGCCAGTCTTCTTGACTTCCTGGGGAAATAGAACCAAGTATTTAAACTCAAAACTATGCTGGGAACATTTTATTTAATTGAAGATTGATGCAGGTAAGTAAGTTTAGTTGAACGGCTTGATGATAATTTAGGACACAAACACGTTTTTTAAAGTACAAATGCCTATCTGTGTCAGTCGGATACGTTCTTTACTTTCCAAAACAGTTCTAGTTTTTTTTCGTTTTGTGAAAGAGGATAGTTGATTAGATATTTGTTAGGTGTATTTTGTTTGTAATGGACTGGCCTACCTTTTTTACCAATTACCGAATATCTGTAGCTCATCCCTGAATCTAGATTAATTTCAACGAATTTTTGATTAAATATCAATCTTTAAAATTGTTATTTGTTGTTCTTACATATTTACATATTACAACTAAGTAAAATCTTACTTATTTATCGCTGAAATTAAAAGAAAATCTTTGAACGGACATTACTTTTAATATAACTTACCCCAGTAGCAATTGGGTCACAGCCGTAGTATCTGGCGTACAAAATCATCCCCAAGTATACTGTCAACCCGTGTACGAAGAATACTCCAAACGACGTCCACAGCAATACTCTGGAAAATGACTTATGGTGAATTGTTAAAGAAATTTACATCGATTATTAACTTATTAGTTAACGTTAATTTCAAAATCACATAGATAACTCAATCAACTAGTACAGTGAGTTGCCTATATTTACGTATTTTAACCATATTAAATGTTTAACTTTAAGGTAAAGCATCTTACAACTATTATAAAATCATTTTTATTTAAATGCTATAACACAACACAATACAACAATATACAACATTGTTTGGTTAGGTTAGGTTAGGTTAGAGGTTTGGTTAGGCTAGTTTAGGCTAGCCTTGATAAAACCTAACCATCGTTGCATATATAATAAAACGTTGGGGGAGAGGGCTATATACAATCCACCCCTTCCATTTCTGAATATGATGCAACTCATAATCCGGACTGGCATTTGAAGGTAGTACCTCTAAACGCTCCATTTCATCTGTCAACCACGTCAGCCTTTATATCAGTGTAAGTAAAATACATACCTCTTGGCTTTGCTGAGTGTAGGCACCGAGAGACACCTTTGCACCGCTCCAGGATGAACTGCCAAGTTACACATCCAATTCATCGTGTTGCCTATGAGAATTGTCCAGAACGAACTTCTTACAAAAGGGGAGAGCTCCATGCTGAGGAAAAAAGATGGACAAACCTTTAATATATTTAATAAACATTCTTCTTCTTCTTCTTCTAATTCGCTTTTTAAAAGCTGGCTTAGTTTAAAATAGCCACGTAGCCACACTACTTCCTAAGTAAATTTTCCCGGGGTTTTTTAAAATGTCAAAAAGATGCTAGTTTGTAAATTTTTATTTTTATGTCTTGTTGGGCTGTTATTAAAACTGGATTTCTAAACATGATTTGTTTCTATCTTTGACAAGAAAGAAATATCTTTAATGATAATAGAAAAATTCAGAGCCAATAACCTATTTCAACAATAAAATAATCTCTAGAATACGTTATATATTATGGTTAAGGAAGTTAAATGAAAACGAATCTACAAAAAATTAAAAAAGTACGTTGTTTTAAAATTGTATAAAATAGTTCATTGTTTAAGTCAGAAAAGTTAAACTTACTACAAATGCAATTTTAATAGCTTTTTTTAAGGACCTTGATTCCTTTAGTTTGAAACATGAAAAGAAAAATAAAATGTCACGAAAGAATAAAATTCAAAAGTAGTGAAGCAGGTGGGTTAGTGTTTGAACGTAAGCATTGAAAACAGATTTTGGTGTAACAACCAATAAAGTAGTATTCTAGAGAATATTCCAATTAATTGACCAATTGTAAACGAGTGTGTACAAGTTTATTGGTCAATTAATTACCCCTTAGTTGGGGTTAAAAGCATGTAAATCATGTGACTACACTGACAACGTTATAGAACACGCCCAAAACAATCAAAGTTAAGCAATTTCACAAAACAAATGCTGAGTTTAACAACTTAACCAGTTTTACATGAAGAATTCCTCTCTGCCTCCTTCCAGGTTGATCCGATGGATCTCTGCGACGCCTCCTACACAGTAGACGCCCAGGAACATGACACAGAGGACGGCAATGAGGGAGAAGAGATTCTGGAATGCGTCTGTCCAGAGTACAGCCTTTAGTCCACCCTGGTGACGAAGCAAAAATAATGGGGATGACTCAAAGTAGTTTGTTTGCAGTTAGCTGTTTACGTTGTAAAATTTTGAGGTGTAAACTATAGAAAGATTGCAAGCTACTTACAAAGGTTGTATAGAAGATGCAGATTGCACATATAATGGGGGCGACTGCTTGAACTGGCATCCCTGAAACTAGATATAAGTATTTTAGAGATAAGCTTTCCATGTGAAGTAGTGCAGTCTTACAACATAAATTGTCATTATGAAGATTTTTTGAATGAATCTTCTTTCATTTTAGACAAATTTTATGATTGCAATACAGCTAAATACTACTTTGGATATTTTTCCAACGGTACATGTCTAAATTTGAAAGTATTTCTTTTAAGATTATTCAGTTTAATTAGATTTAAACATTTTAAGGGAGCATGCATTTATAATTTAACTGTAGTTTTACCTTGATTGAAAATTAAAGCTGGGACGTATATTATTGCCGGCAGGTACACAATCTGAAACAACAACAACAACTTATTCCTGTAGATGATTCTATTTGAAATAGTTTGTATCACAGAGATGTAAGATACGGAGGAAACATTAGTATAAGCGGTGTCCAGCACTATTAATTGCTGGTGTCTATGAAAAAAAACCCAACACTACCCCTCGCCATCATGTACTACAACGCTCACGGTCGAGGAAGACCCTTTACCCTGTGCGATACAAATTTCCGCACCGTACTCACCACTCGATCTCTTTTTTGCCCGTAACAAGTATATTTCCTGTATACTGTATTGCACTGGATCTGAAAATAGCACGGTCTTTCCATTAGCATGTTTCCTCTGTATCTCATTTCTCTGTGACTGCATATAGCCTTCTAGACTACATCGAATGTATTTAATTCAATGACAGTAATAGTATATGGGTTAAAATTTATTGAAGCTAGTGCGTAAAATTTGTTAATTAAAAGTAAACTAAAAATAAAAATTAACATTAATTTCAAGTCTACAATTTTAGCTGTTACTAGGTACATCAAAAATTAGCTGTAGGACATTGAGAACAGGTTCACTCATTCTGGCCAAAATAAATAAATATTAGTAAAAATGAACTCACTATAAATTGTAAAATCAATCGTAAATCAAAAGCATCACTTTAAAATGTATTTAAGAATAAGAAAATAAATTTAACCTGTGATATAGTGAATATGAGGGACCCAAGCACCCGTACACTGTGGCTGAAGCGAAGTTCAAGATACTGAAAAATATTTAAAATTTACTTAGAATACAAAAATATAAACTTAAAAATTATAGTAATATCCATACTAATTTTCACCACCAAATTGTGTTACTTATATACTTTAAGCAAACCATAACCTTGACAAAGCCTACCTCAAACAGCGACTTGAGCTGCAGATTGTAGAATATCGGCAAGAACAGGGCGATGTTGATGAATGGAACTATCAAATCAGCGATCATCCCCACAGCGAAGAGGGACCCGTAGGAGTAAGTCTCTGCAGGTGTGCCAACTATGGCGATCCCAGATATGTGGCTAAAACCCAATTGAATATCAGAGCTACAATACTTAGTTGACTTGAAAATTCACCCAAACTATTATGGATACAAGTAGTAAATAGTTATGCATATTGAGAGAGAATACAAAAAGTTAGTGGGATTGAACTCAGTTAATGATGGTAGAAGTATATAAAACAAGTAAGTTTGACCACAACGTTAACTGTGTTCGTAATTCTTGGAAGATTGTATTATAAACTCCTCAAATCAAAAAGGTTATAGGCTATTATAAATGTGTTTTATTGTCCATTTACATTGCATTTTAATTTTAACAGAGGTGGTATAGGGATTTAAAAGTATTAGGTAGTATCATCTTTGACTAGAATTGAAGGGTAGTATACAATTTAGTAGTACATAAACATTAGCAGCATTAGGATAGTATGCAGTTTTCAGGCATACGTAGAGTACAGTAAGAACACAGGCAAGTACAGTAAGTTCAATCAGCGTTAATATTATCCGATGGATTTTTAATACTTTTCGTTAAGGGATAAAAATTAGGTATTTGAGTCATATATCAAATATATTTTTAAATTATAAGTACAATTCGTATATTATACAGTACTAGCTGTTACCCACGGGCTTCACCCCATTTGACTTTATAAGTATCAATAAAAATATTGATTGGTTAAGGAGATGAAATAAACAAAACAGAATACAAATACAGTAATACAAATATGATCACACCTGATTTGAATAAGGTAATAAATTGAAAGAATAGATTTTTTTACGTACAGCTGAGGTATATTTAACATTAAGTATGGAAAGTTCTCAGAAAGGAATTACGACCTTAAAAGGCAATTGATGAAATAATAAATAGTTTAGCGCAAGGTTTCTTGTCATGAAGAACATTTTAAGTACAATATATAATTTATGGGGGTGGACTTGTAGTTTTCTAAAAAGTTCATGGGTACTTTGGGACTTATATATGGATACAGTAGAATTTTACTAAATATTTGACTGACCTTGCCACTTGAGACATGGCTACAGGAAACACCCCCATTGACCTTCCACCGAGCATGTAGTCAGTGTAGTTGTCCTGGCGAGACCAAAATGTGAAGTACACTCCGATCACTAGCGATAATACCAACATGAGCAAGACCACTGCATACTCCTCAGGGGCAAACATCCTCAGGCTTTTCTGTGAACGAAAACAGTGAAGTAGTTTAGTAGATAGATTGCAAATGAGTTTTAGTGTTTTCTACCTAATTTGTTTGTGTAAAATGATGTTTTTGATGCAATAAAAGTTTTTCGTAAAATGTATCATTGAAGAAATTTTGATAACCGCTTAGGTCAATAATAGCACTGAAAAGCGTAGGTTTGATTTTTTTTTTTTAAAGGTACATACATTTGCCTATGAACTATGGATACAGATGGCATAGTATCCTCATCCGATAGATGACCTGTAGATGGTTTTACACTCAAAAAGCTATAACAGCTTATTTTTAGAAATTCTTTATTATTTTTTTGGTATGATTGTATAAACTGTGAATTGATAAAGATTGAAATTGCCATTAAATAATAATTTTATTTCAGATTAGAATGGGATAACTTAAAGGTCAATGAAAAATAATACTTATATTTTTTGTAAATTATTATTTACAAGAATCATAACTACTACTTGTAATAAAATTTTTCGTGGAATTCCTATGGTTTCCACTACAATGAAAAACAACTGTTTTAGTTGTGTTTGTCATTATAATTTGAATTTCCAGCATTTTAGTAAGTAAATGGTCCAAACCTTGGTCCTGCTACTATTATTTAAAGTCAACCTTTAGTTAAATATAATCATTGATTGATAGTTCTATCGAATTTCATCTAGGTCCAGAATTGAACAGGTGACCTAGAGATTTGAAGACCACAATAACTTGTCAGCTACCCTGACAACCATCGCACTTGCACTAGAAATGGAATTTTCAGTCCACTAGAGGTATAAGAGTTCATAAACTAGCTTATAGAAAAATATTGGTTATTCACCCTCTCAATACTGTGATTAGACAAAATATGTTATCACATAAAATAGAAGACGAACTTACCTCACCTGAAAGATGGAGATTGTGTAATTAAACCAAGGTAGTTGTCACACTGCCTTAAAATATTACAAAATAAACAGATGATAACAAAGTTGACGCTAAGACTAAACTCTTCTCGTTATATAAAGATAAAGCTAATTATCTTGTTAATCACTTATCTTGCATAATTACTTTCAAACTTAAGGCAAATCTTGAAAGACATTTGGTAATTAGGAGTTTTAAACTTTGATAGGGGTGATTGTTTGATTATTGTTGTATAACATTTTGAAAAACATATTTTTGATTAAATACATTCAGATAAATAATTCAATCGTTTAAAAGTTGATCATTTTTAATTAATTGCAAAACAGTATTAATTTGGCATTATACTAAATTTAAAATAATGTAATTACATTAGTTAAAACAAAATAAAAAAAAATATTTTTTTCCATTTTTAAAATCTAGGTCAGCTATAGTACGCCATGCAAGGTTATCTAGTTATTTCATGTTCTTTAGTTTATAATAAAATAACATTTAAAAATAATTTTTAATTTTTAAGGTAACGTTATTAAGGCAATAACTGTTATATGCAATTGTTATGACATTCTGAAAATATTTACCCTGTAAGACCATCTATAATCAATATCTATTTGCACAATACCATTTATTCTGTTACCTCTTAACTTAGTTAACTAACTAGTAACTTAGTTTATTATCTCCAACATTAAATCCCTCTGTAATAATTAATGATCTCTGGTCATCTATGTTCAACACAGTTTCAAAATAGTTTCCAAACGAAATTACGTTGAGCTAAATGTTCACTCTAACTGTTGTTTGTGGGTTTATGATCTAATTTAAACTGCAACTTGTATTTATCATGACAAATGAGAAGGATTTAAAGTTCTATTTCAATTTGGGAATACTTAAGCAACTAGTTGACTTTAAAAATTCACGTTTATGTTATTTCAATTAAATTTGTATACAAACCATATTGAAATCCTAACGCCAAGCTTCTAACATGAGATATGTGCTACTGCAATTTAAAAGGGGAAGTAGAAAATGAAAAAAACCTTTTATTGCATTGTCGAGAATAAAGTTACCTCATAAAACCGATCTAAAATTATAAGAATGAAGTTACCTCCTTGAGTAAATTTGCAGATTCCTTACTGGTAAGATATTTAAAATTAGATTTAACCACTTGCAATACACCAACTCTGAGCTAGATAAAGGTATGTTTTTAAGAAAGTAACTGGTTCTGTTACCAACTGAATTTAGAGTGAAAATAAGATTTTATTGCATTGCTACAAGGACTTTATGATTAATTCAATCCATCGTAAAATATGAAAAGTGTTTTTGAATTGCAAATTCATTTAATCAAGTCGTAGCACCTGCGAGAAACCTTTCTCCATCGGGTGAATTTATATTTTTGAATAACGCATATTTCTAAGACTAAGACGAGTGTTTTTTCATTAATAATGTTCAAAGAATATTCAAATTGATGAGTTTATAAAAACCTAGTTAAATTTATTCAATGGTGATAAAATTCAAGTTTAAAACCATTTTAAAATATACCAATAAAAAATTTAACGGCACAAATAAAAATTAAATATCTCAGCAATTTTATTTTGCACTCATTAGGTACCTTGTTTTTTTCCAACCTTTATTATGATTTTGACCAAATAAGGTACTGTTTCAAAAGTAGTACAGAAGTAGCTTTATAATATTAATTAGGTTTATTAAATATGATCATCATAATTTTTTTTTTAACCTAACATACTTATAATGTAAAGGTTATTAACTACAATTAAAATAAACCCCTTTTTAAATAGTTATTTGTTGTAAGCATTATCAACTAAACCAAGAAAGTATAAAAAACACTAAAAACGTGCTGCAATTTGCCGAGTTAAAAAATTTAAAATTGTTGAACAAAGTGGGATTATTAAAGATTTTTAAAAGGTTTGTGTAGTTTACTGTGAAGACACAGTTATATATCTTACGGTTATTTTAAAACTATGAGCTGTAAAAACAAGGGATGACGATTATAATACTTATTTAATAAAAATGTATCAACACAATTTGGTATCTGTTAGTAATAAAAAATGATAACCATAGAATTTAACAAATAATATTGGATGAATTAACATAACAGACTTTTAATATTTACTGCGTCCTATTAATAATAAATGTTAAACAACTAGCCAAATGCAAATTGGATAGTGACCTCTCTTTGAGAATACATGGTTCTATGAATAGTTAAGCTTGTTAGTATAAATACACTATACCACAAAGCCCTGACTAGTTTGAATTAATGTGGTTGCTGTTGACATTACAGCTCTTGAGGCCAGCACCACTATACATTTCCTGTGAGTAACCATTGGCGTACAGACGATTAAAATTTGATACTCGTATTAAAAAGTATAATGAACCTAGAATTAATACCTTAAGAAGGTTGGTAGGGAGCTACGAAACACTCTGTATATAAATTTGAACGAATAGTGTTTTTGCCCTCTAGGGACCTAAAAATTAAAAATGAATCATTCTCGGGTTTTGGTCTTTCCGTACTGCCTACAATGATACTTCTTCCTATAGAAAAAATCGCTAAAATTAATATAAAAAAATATAGTAGTCTTTCAAAACCCATTTGAAAGTTTGACACTTTTTGATCATTTTTTGGAGAAAATAGTCTTTTCGTACTTTTGTCATGAAACTTTATAAAAAAATATTTCCTTGTAAAATATTATTTATAGTCTAGTCTGTTTACAAATATTTGCATTAGATCTGAAGACGTTGAAGTGCACTCGGTCTGTGTTTGAAGTTTAACTTCTACCTTGAACACGAAACTATTCCAATCTTCAGAGCATTTCCCACCTCCAGAATTTAGAGTAGGATGTTATGTTCTCCCTACTTCATTACTACCCTCCTTTGTGATGTGGATGAGAACTCAGAAGAACTTTTAATTACAAAAACTTATTTTCAACCATAATAAGAAAGTATTCCACACTCATTCCATTTTGTAAGTTACACCTTTTGTGATGTGGATGAGAGCTCAGAAGAACCTTTAATAAAAAAAATAAAAAAACACATTATCAACCATAATAAGTAAGTGTTCTACACTCAACCGATTTTATAAGTTACAGTATTTTTAGTGTGTTTTAACGGTGATTTGTTGGGTTAAAACCCAGTCGTTCAAAAATATAACATTTAATACTATTTTGAACTAAGACATTGGATATTTTAATTTGGACACAGAAGTAATGATTTTAACGATGTTTAATGTAAAAATCACATTAATGGCATGGAATTAAGTTTATTAAAAATTATGTTAGCTTCCTTATTTAAAATTTCAAAAGTGAAAATAAAACAAAAATCTGTAAATTTGTTGCTTTAAAAAATAAATAACATATAAGCTGCAGAGCCTGTACTAGAACAAACAAGTAAAATTCAAACATTTTTGTTTTGTTGGATTTTAATATTTTTCAAATAAGTCACACGATATAGTACTTGTACTAAAAGTAATTCGAAATACCTTTAGATTAAAAGCTTTTAGAGTTCAGAGTTATAAAAATATGTCTACGTAAGTTCAAATTCTGACAATTGGGGGCAAAGAAATGTATAAACTTTAAAAGAAGGTGTTACATAAAGAAAAAAACTACAAACTATAGTGAAAAAGTAACTATAACTTCCATTATCGGGTAAATTGTGGTTCGTATACTTAGTTCTACTCTGAGTTTGATCATATAAAAAACAACAATGCTAGAAAGTGTTTATCGAAGATTTATTGCTTGTTGGGAGAGAACAATTTGTCTTTAGCAACAAGTGTACCTGGAAACTTCTGGGTAACAGATGCTTCGTAACTTTTGCCATGTGAAAAATGCTAAAGGCGGGTTTTAACCATATGATTCTGTGTTAATTACATACTTTGTCAGTGGAACAAAATTAACCTGTTGTTTCTTGAACTTAAAAATAATTTGTTTATGTTTATATTTATGTGTTTGAATGTCTGTAAGTATGTTCATGCATTTTTAAGTGCGGTTTTTACGTTGGGGTGACCCTTTTTATTTTTTATGGATTCAAAAATAAACAGCTGTTCTCGGTTTTTAT